GCTGTAGTCTTGAGCGCACTAGCATGCTGAACTGTATCTGCCAACGCTCGCCTTACTCCCGAATCACGGTCAGCCAGGTCGCGGGCGATGGTAGAAAATATCTTCTCATGGCGACGGTCTGCTTCTCGATCTCGGTCGAAGCAAAAACATGAACCAAGCCCTCCCGCATCGCTGAACCAGTTAGCAATTGTGTGGGCGATGGCTGATTTTCCCTTGCCTGCCGGGCCAGATAGCCACAGCACGCGTGGAACGTCGTCTCCAGTGCTGTTGACCCAATCTGTGATCTGGGAGAGAATTTCCGTGCGCGTCCCTTGGAGGCATTGTTTCCTGGTGTCTAACCCCGCATTCGCTGCATAAGTTATACCGCTGAGATCCAGTAGTTCGCCTGAAGAGGAATGACTGGTTGTTGCATCCGAAGCAAGTACAATCCTTACCTGTATGGTGGGTATAAATAGCCACGTCCCAAGTAACTTGGTCTCGGAAGTTTTGCATGAGCGCATCCAACACATCGCTATATCGTTGAATTTCATTATTTGTTTCAGTGAGAATGTCCTTCCCGAGTCTTTTCCCTGTTATAATAGTAGAAGATTGAGTATGTGGAACGTGCAACAGCTTGAAGACTCACAGAAGCTCTTAGTCTCTGAATAGTCTCTGATGAAACGGGCGCATTCAAGGGTCTGCTGAGAGATCTGTCCAAGGATACCGCGCATCGATGAAATCTGACCAAGCGTCTTGTCCTGTATCACGAAGCCGTAAACTTCATCCAACTTGTCGACAAGACGATGTACTGCTTGGTCGCGATCCGATTGGGCAATGACCATCTACACCGACGACTCCTGAGTGGGTGACAGAAACGAGGGAGGAACCAAACATACTTTTGATGCACAAGACAAGACGCCCAGTGCAATCTTTGCATATGGATGTACCTGTGGCACGGGATTAGTTCGGTTCCAACCACGAGAGGAATGGGCCCATACATCTGCTAGCTTCCCGATAATATTGTCGAATATCCTGAGGGGTTGAAGATATGTGTCCTGGAAATCATATGCATCCTCGAGATCCGCTGGAGCATTTTGGGCGGCGGATACTGCAGATCCCACACGCCCCGAAAGTAGATTCATATCTTTGACAGCCTTTTTGGCGTCTCGGAGTGCCGATTGGGGATCAGCATGTCGTTCCACGCCTGAAGAGGTATCCTGAACCTGCACGGCCAACAGAATTTATGGAGTGTGTATAAAGTGAGAGGTGACCTACCTTGATATTCGGGATTGATGAGGCATCTTCACGATCAACGTTCGGAAGAACGGAGTGTGAACCCTTCGAGTGCTTTTGTACGATTACATGAGACTTGTTCCAGGAAACTCGAGATCCTTGTCGACTCACAGAAATCTTTTTAGTCGCATTCTTAACCTTCCCTAGAAACCGACGAATTTTGCCACGGCGTCTGTCCTGGATCAAGAACGCATCAGAGTTAACGCTTCGAGTGAAATGAGAAGTGGTCCTCATCAGAAACATACCGAACTTTCACCAGCAGTTGCTTCACTGGACGCGCAGATTTCAAGAGAAGGGTCTTGCCTCGAGTTCCTTGATTGATTGTGTTCAGTCATCGTTTGAGATGGTTAATACGGAGGATCAGTCTGAGTAAAGTTGGGTGGGATAAGTAGTTGGAAGAAGGGGTCCCCACTTCAGCGTTTAGATAACAGCATACCCTTGGCCACAATCCTCGAGGCAATATTTGTCGATGTATTGGTTGCGCGTCTCTTCGGAACTCCGGGAAATGCAAGGAAGTCGGCGAAAAAGTGACTATCGTCTTTGATATTCCAATACCCGACTGCCTCGAGATCATGAAAAACGCCATGCTGATCATGATCACAGACATGCCAGTGGCCCTTTATCGGTATTGAAGAAGACGATGATTGGCTCGATGAACTTGAAGATGTCTCCGTCCTATGACCCCGAGAATGTCTATCTCTGCCGTGGCGCCGTTCCCCAGATCTGTTGCATGGCACTCCATCCCCCCAACTATACCCGCTTTCCTCAACATCAATGGTGTTTCGGCTAACAAATAACCTCCGTTCACTCTCCAAGCATGCTACGAGTCCCTCCCTCGCCCATCATTCGAAGCCAGACACGCCAATGAATTCGGTGGGCCTGGGTATATAAACACCCAAGGCAGCAAGCTGACCATCGCAGTCATTTTGACTTCAGACAGAACTCCAGGTCGTGCATACAGCCTCTCCACGCCCACGCTCACGAAAATGATTCACTTTGTCCACCACTATTTCCTCCTCTTAGACAAACCCACAGAATACGGAGCATACATTGTCGATCCCAGTTCTTCAAACCTGCAGAACACAGAGCATACTTTGTCGGCCTCAAGGTTCGTGCGCTTGGATTCCGTACGGTAGATTTTCAACGATGATCTTCAATAACACTGTTTTGCTGTAGCCGCAATGTGATGAGAGGCGAGCTCGATATAGTTATGCTTCAGTTCATCACAATGTGAACGAAAGACTTGGGGTTGTTCCCCAGTAAGAAGAAAACATCTGGCGGAGTTTAAACCCCATTCCTGCGCGAAATCTATTGCTCGTATGGATGCATCTCAAAGTTGCACGCATGAGTCGTAGTGTCACTAATGCCCCTGCTACTTATCCTATCTCCATCAGATCGAAAGCTGTACACGATGGAATGAGTCTGCCAATTCAAACCCGTGACACAGCCGCACTCACCCAACGGAGGAACTGAGAATAACTGCTCGAACTCAATTCTACAACTATCACAGGCAACCTCAACGGTCACAACACTCGCTTCCTTACCACACGAGAACCGCGTTGCGAGCTGCGATTGCCAGCCATCTTCCAGTCCTAGCTGCTCAATCTTCTCTTTCTCAGGAAGGAATGCGACAGTACCCATCAGTGCAATTCGCTGGGGTCGTGTGTTCCAGCTGAGGCTCGTCATGCCCTCAGCAGGAGTGGTGACATTCCAAATTTGGATTTCGGTGATGGGCCCAGATGAACTATAGGACTTGTTGGCCGCAAGACCGTCTTCAATAGTGGGAACGATGCTGTCGATATAGCAAGACGTGAATTTGGACCGGCCGAGGTGCCACTGAAAGAACATCGAGTCCTGGAACGATATCAATAACCAAATCGCTTCAGGGCACGGAGGTCCACTTACGCTGTTGCTCAGTATGACGTGCGAGCCTGAAGTGTACACTTGGTCAGGTAAGGCTTTGTTCACCCGTACTATGCCGCTTGGAAATAACAACTTTGGTGCTGGTCACACAGGCTTATTAGGGACGCATTATGAACAACTACCGAACCTACGTACCTTTTTGCTTTTGCTGAGGGTCGCCGACCAATTCTATACCTGGAAACTGGTTCGGCTGACGCAACCCTTGGACATTACGTTGCCCGGAAACAGAGGCAGAGGCAATGTTATACAATGCACACGCGCAAACAACTGCGATGACCTGTAATCCTAGCTCTGCCCAAGCAGGCCATTTAGATGGGGGGTCCATAGTGCGGTGCTTAGAGGTGATGTGTTTACCGGGGAGGAGAATCTCATCTTCGCCGTCTTCAGGTTGATGATCTAGATCATTCATTTGGAGAGGCGCATACGACGCCATGACGGTTTGTGGTGTATCTGAGAAGTAATTGTTTGAACCTCTTCTTACTTAACAGCAGAGCACCCACATAATGGTTTTCCAGACGTTTAAATGCTCTTGGGCACGATTCAGAAACCTATGAAGGACGAATGAGAGTAGCACTCTGGCTGATGTCTTGTAAGCGATTATATTTATACAGGGTTCATGGAGTTTCGGTGTTCTTTTCTACTGAAATCTTGCAGTGACATGTCCCTGTCAGCCGGTTCTTTTGATCGAGCCAGCCGGGAAATAATCTGACTGAACTGTTGAACAGGGCTAAATCTTAGTCACTGCCACTCTCACTATGTACGAACCCTGCTACTCCCTTCCTTCTGTGTAAGCAACTAACGGAAGAACACTTTGCCTAAGTAATAGTACGCAAAATCTCCCGGTCTATATTGAGCAGCCTGTCGCTAAATGGGAGAAATCTTTTCCTAAGCTAGCACAATATGTTCCACGAAACGACACATGTGCCCAGCCGAGTTGTGGAAATCACTCAATCTCACACATTACATACCCCACTTGTTGCACCGATTGTACATTCAACACCCCAAGTAACTCGACAATCACTCCTACATCTAACCACCGTGAAACCCACTTTGTCTTTTGTTTTCATCGCCATCTCTTTGTTACAAATAGAGGCGGCGTGTCCCGTCCTCGATAATCAGAAGTTCTCGTGTACGTCTCAACGTGTCTGTTACCAGCCTTGTCTCAACTGATCTATTTACCTGGTTCAACGACAAGCACACTAACGCTGTCGAGGAACGGAAAGCCTATTGTGTGTCTCATCATATCTCTTATCTGCCCTCTATCTCATGTATCGTTGGCTTAGATTTTGTTGCCGATGGTAACGCAGATAACGACAAGCGCTCTTCCAGTCCAGTTGCTGAACGTAATTCGCTTTGAATGATATATTGACGTTGTTAGACGCTAGGGTGTTGGTGATCAAGGTTATCCTCTGGTCCGATACTTATTACTGGCATCGTTTTGGTCATCGCTCTGCAGTTGTGGGGACTAGCCGTGAGTGAATACTGTATTTTTTTAGACCAGTAAGTTAACAAATTCTATCAATGTATTGATCTCGAGAATCACGATCGCATTCGCAACTGCTCTCTATTCGTTCGCGAACTTCGTGTCATCACTATCTCTGTTTCGTGTAAGGGTGCTCTATTCTCAAGATTATAGTCACATCCAGTCCGACCTAAGCTACTGGCAAATTAGAAGTCACCTGTAAATCGTTCTAAATCTTCACCGCACAAGAATTTGCAGACCTCTTTCTCCGATCAGTCCATTGAAATCAGCTGCTCCAACAATATTGATATCAAAATCTTCCTTTGCATTTCCTCATGCACCATCATCGCGCTGCTACTGCGTTAAGTCTGGATAGCCTCTCATGCCTGGCTAGGGCGTAACCGAGCTCATGGAACAAAACGTGACCTCGGCGAAGCTGCTGCTCTCCTGAATCATGATATTTCCTGTCGTTTTGCTCAGTGCTCTGCAGGGATGGGTGCCAGCGACTTGTCCTGCTGGCACCACTTGCAGTTGTGTAGTTTAACCTTTTATCAATTACACGAGGCACTTGATAGTGCTGCTGGTGTAGATTGGCACTAAATGCATTACATGGTATACTCAAAGACAGTACATACATTGGAGATCTCGGTTTCTGCTCTTAGTTGGACTTTTGGCGCAAAACAAAGAGCACGAACAGAATCATACGCGACAGTGTGTCAGTACCATCCTCCACATAGTCCTGCCATGATCCTATGGGTCTGTTGGAAGGATGCCTAAGAAAGTGTCAATTCGTCAAATATCGTGCAACATTCATACTGAACTTACCCGTCGAACCAATAGAAATAATGTTCTGGGTCATCGCACATGTTGCCATCGATGAAGCAGGCACCCGGGTTTGTATACCCGAAAGCCTTATAGCTCGGATCAGATCCAAGCACTCCGTCCCAGATGGTCCCAAAAATGACCAAAGCCAAATTCAATGGAGGATCCTGAGAGCGGAATGCGACGAGACCATCGAAAATTGACTTGAAGCCACGCCTCCCCCCATGAATTATGAGTTCCGCGACCATATGCATCGGTAATAAGAAAATTGCGTGCATTTGTGGGTGGAGAAGCAAGAAGAGCGATCTGGCCTAGCATATCTTGCGCTGCCTCTGGTAGGTGGTTTCCGTCCACTGGAAGATAGTATTAATCATCATTTGATTTAGGTTCATGATTTCAAGGAAGTACCAAAGGAGTCCCCCCAGTCGCTACGGCAGTGTTAGATTGAGATTGCATACGTGCTGCAATGCTCACTTAATTCCAAAGAATATCGCGTACAGGGTGGTCTCCGGATCCAGGTTATTGGATTGGCTTAGAAATGTTGTTGCTAAAGAGGCAAATATTCAAATAAGCTTCGCCAGAAGTGAGGAGGGAACACACTCTGCATGATGAAGTCCCGCGGATATGGGTTACTAGGCCACAAGCTAATGTTTGTAACAGCGCTTGACCACTGCAAGACATCAAGATACGGACTGATTGTGAGGTAAAACGTACAGCATAATCCATGACCCTGGCGCCGATGTCACTGGCAATGTCCTCGACCCAAACGGGTCCGTTGGTTGAACGACCGCCTGCTAGAATATCTGGTGGTGTTATAACAGCAGGCTCAAGAGGGCCACCGTCATGTCTCCCCCCATCAGTGAATGAGTCCTGCGTGAATTCATTAGCCAGCTGAAAGGTCGAAGGGAAAACACCCACGAACGCCAAATGCAACAATGGTCTTAAATTGAGGAAGATTCAAACCGGCATTGAAGTCCGACACTGTGCCAGACAGGGGACCGCACCGGGGACTGACAGCGAGATGAATACCATCATTGGGATCTTGCAGTCCCAAGACAGAGCTTTAGCCTCTGTCAAAATCACTAACAAGACGAGAAAGTGAAATTCCATCGAATGCCAACGAGCCAGACTACGAATTTGACCTATAACTGCATCTGGAGAACAATCCATCATAACACATTGGAGAGACGCCGGTCATGAGAGAACCACAAATATCGAACTGAAACTGCGGAAAGCGAACAAATGGCAAAGGAGGCTCACCAATCGAAGGTACCAGGAAGGTCAAAAGGACCCGAAATAAGAGCCCTAGCACCCCATAAAGTGCAGAGAATGGGAACAGCAGGACACTATACATTACTACCTGTTGTGCTGCTTGACAGCGACAGTTCGTGAGATGGTGAGAGTATTGATGAAGAGACGCCGGCCGCTCTCCGAGTCAGTCGGACAGCAAACAATGCTTGAACCATGATCGGGTGTAATCAGGTGCGTTTTTAGCGATGTCAACTCATTTGTAGGCTTCACAAGGATTGGGCAAAATTGACTAATTGCCAGCAGGTACGGTCATTTCAGCTCCATCTGGCTCAAGAGTCGCTGGCATGATCTAATAGGTTGGGCTGGACCGAGTGTTAGCTCGAGGTAGGACGCAAGCAAGTGGAGCTGCTCGGGCCTTGGCAAGGATACCTGCTTACCAATTCGATCATGACTCACGATTCGAGTAGCATCGAAATGGAACTATGTATTGACACAGCATACTATAGTGAGGGGAAACCACGGAGTGTGCATGTGAACTGGGGTGTGAAAATTAAAAAGGGGGTAGTGGGTGGCTACATATAAAGAAAGACTGTTGGTGAGGAGCGACGAACTTGTGGTAGAGAATGTAGGAAGCGAACAGCTCATGCACCGGCACATTCCGGCACGCGGTATCGCCCGGCACCTGCATGATGGTTCGGACGTTTTTCCTGATCATCTTGTGTACTTACACCATTGCCACACTCCAGTTTCGCCCAAGATTAAGCCGTGGAATGATCCAGCTGCCCTAGCTCCTGCGTATTGATTGAAGCTTCTGGAGTCTGGACTCGGGTTCTTTGGTCTGTTTTAGGTAGAAGGCTGCGCACAAGCCACGCAGGAGCCTGCAGGAGCTCCACTTACGTTGCAGATTATCTTCTTCGTGGTACGTTAATTATGCTTCTATCAGCTGAAATCAACCTCGAGCTTTCTGATCGATATCACAAACGCCCATGTCAGCTGGGCACGTTGACTAATAGCCAATACCGAACACCTGCATCGCAGCGTGTTGCAACGTGTGGTGACCATGCAATCATATATGACTAAAATGACTTTCTCCCCGGTGGCACTTGTCTTTCTCCCCTCTCAGATCAGTGCATTTCAAAAGCAGCCTCTGTAATACTAGGTGCGTTATAATCCTCACTGGATGCAGGTAATCAATAAGATGCGACCTCTAAGCACAGACGATGAGCCGCTCTCAATTGAAAATACTCTCCCAATTGGCATCGTCGCCTAACGATGTGGCGTCGGGTCTTGCCCAATGCATAGAGGCCTTGCGTCTCGTTTCCTTCCCTGCCGAGATCATCGCCCATCATGGTCGAGTACTCGGGTTTGAAGGGTTCCATAATCAAGGCTTTCGGAAGGGAGCATCTCTCACGTGTGCCGTTCAGGGTGAGCCTCGTCTTATTTCTTGTAGCTCATTCTTCTCTCGAGTCCTAGTCTCCCCAATGCTAATCGACTCCTGCAGACTGTGGTCGGGCTTCTCAAAGCCTCCATGGAGCTCCCTGAAGACTCGCGCATCATGCATGCTGCATTCTACCGCGAAGATGGGACAGTTGATCCCACAAAGGTGCTCATCGACGAGGACTCGTGGAAAGAGCTTGTACCATATGTGCATACATTGCACATCGAGGACGATCGTCAAGCGCATTCGGTATTTGCCACACAAGCCCTGTCATCAGCAACTTCCCAGAGCGCAAGGGCATCCCCCTCCTTAAGTCCAACGTTGACTTCCCCAACACGGAGCCTGAATGGCAACGCAAACACTTTCATCCCCACCAAAACTACAGTGACGTTGAAATCGCAGGATGGAACAAAGGTCAACCTACAAGCTCTCAGAAAGGGGAGAATCTCCCCCGCATGTATGTATCTTTCATTTGAGGTCGGACAGTAAAGCTCATATCAGCCCGTAGCCATCCAACCGGTATCGTCATTGGTAGGTCTAGCAGATACGTAATATTACAATATTGGGTTGAGTTGTATGTACATGACAAAAATTCGCAGATTATTTGTGGTTGTAGTGTATGACACAATGTGCATGGGATCAGAACAAGATGAGAGATATGGTATATACGAGAAAGGTTTATACATGCTAGCGAAAGGATCAAAAAATCACGGAGTACCAAGGTATTCAAGAAGGGGTAGTGCAGTTTCTAGTTTTGTCCGGAGTGCTGTTATAGGTGGCTCACCATTAACGGCATGTCTTGTCTCCAAGAAGAAAACCAAGACGTACTAAGTACATGACAATGGTCCGCAATGTCTCTTAATACACCTAACATAGTCCTTAGGGCTTGGACAAGCCCTTCATCGCGTACGGGGAACTGAGTTGGCCAGCTTTTCAAGGCCCGCAGACGTGTAATTTCCGCATGAATCACGAAGGAAGCATTTATCCATATTATCTGGTGACCAAAAACTGTCAACAATTACATACCAGAAGCTCCGCAATTATAACTCACAACGACAGGATCAAAATATTGCAGTGTATTTACGTCCACGCATTGCAAGGCACGCGCTATGAGCACGGCCGCGGTGACGATTTTGGCATTTGATAAGGCATAGGTTTCACGGAAGGGGCTGTGCAACCGGATGGTAGCGAGAGATAGAAGGGATTGCATGCAAACTGTATAACGAGAAACAAGATGGGGTGACGCAGAAGTAAGACTCGATTGCGAGGACGATGGTGACGTCTCGGTTGTCAAGGATGGATTGGACGGAATGAATGCTTGCAGATGTTGTATGAGTGTGTCAAGTGACATAAATTTTGCTCGGAATGACTGTGTTTCTTGAACCCGTGAATCTGAAATTCAAGGATGTTAGAAGAACGAAATTGTGTGCCGACCTTACCTACCTGACGTGTATTGTTCAACCAAATTGTTCACCTCGTCAAGGAGCACAGCTGCTTTTGCGTGGAATGCAAGTGCCGAGTCGCAATCTCCATTTTCATTCTGTCCATCGATAAGGAACTGTTGTACGATGTCTACTTGAGGACCGATCCCCTGCTTGCGGCTCGTAAGGTGGATATCTTGATCGGACAAATTTGCCTCCTGCATTTGTCCAGGCCAGGGGATGGATACTCTAATGGATCTACCGATGCTAGGTGCAACCCCCAACACAGCCGACATACTCTTGTCCCGAGTGAAGACGTTCCAGAATGCATGTATAGCTTCCCTCTGTTCGATATCGTCAACTGGCTTTTGAACGGTGGTCCTGAATGTATCGAACGACATAAACTGCACGTCTGCAAGTGCGTTTGGTTCTCCTTCAGGAGCAGGAGAAGAATGAAGTTGGAATGCCAGAACAAGGCTGGCCGCCGCGCCTGAATGGTACCTTGCCTCCACTATCCGTCCGACCCGGAATAAGTAGTATGTAAGAAGGACTTCAGTTTGTAGGACATTAAGCAGATCTCGGGTACTTGTGCTGCAGGAAGGGATGATATCAGCCAGTTGGCGCAAACATCTCGATAGCACTGTCAGCTCGAAGGCGGTTTGCTTCGTTTCTGTGATGTGGAGACATAATAGAATAATGGCGTTTTGCAATGCAACAGGAATATCATGGGAAGCAGTCACAAGCGTATTGCGTACGCGCGGGATATGCAGGAAAAAACCAAGCTCGTCCACGTAAGGCGATATTTTGTTCAAACTGTTTACAAAATCACAATTAACGAACTATATGGATAAACGTACACGATTACTAGCTTACGATTCTAGCACAATTTGGCTTGGAGGCTCTTCTTGAGCCCACCAGCTGCTCGGGCTGAAATCATCCCATGTGGTTTGAGCACTAGAGCTCGACGCTAAATAATGATGAGACAGCGTGATTATCGGCTTGTAAAATACTTACACGCTTCAGGACTTGATGTGGATGATATCGACGCAGAAATATAGGAAGGCTGGAAACCAAATGGATCAGAAGAGCCTTGCGAGAAGTCGGGAGATGAGTAAGGATGGTGTAGTGCAACCACAGGGGTACTGTTCTCGGGATGCTCAAGCTCTTGTACTCGAGCTTTAAGACGTGCAATGTCTTGCTCCAGCATGTGTGTCCGAGACCGGCCCTGGCCATCCGTGTATTCACAGTCATCGAGCCTGTTGCCACGGATGCATTGACCACACGTTGGTCGGGCACCATCGCACCTCTAGCAAGACAAGTGAGCAAGTCTCAGACAAGGTGGGTTGCATCTACGAACCACTTTTCGACGTCTGCATGCAATGCACGCTTTACCGCGTTGAAGGCCTCCGAATGGTTGGCTTAGAGTACTACTTGAACCAGGTCCAGATGTAGTCATTGAAGATGACCGAGGAAGTCCTTGTGATGTCGAGGATACACTGCCAGTACTGGGGATCCCTCACCTACCATAGTTATATACATATCGGCGAGGACGTCATTCCTGCCTGATGAAAGTGTCCGGTTCCGCTTAACCGTGACGGAGCTCGGTAAGCCTGCTAGCGTCATCTTGTGTCTGTGCAAGTGTGGAGGATGGTGGGTAAGCAGACAAGCATGTCAATATGATCCAACCGGGAGATGACAAAGATTCAACCGTGACTTACATAGCTGATTCTCCTTCCACAATATACCAGAAGTTGCCTCTCATCAACCGAAGTGAATGTAGTGAACAGTAGTTAATATCTGGTTGGTGTGAACTTGAATGTGGCTTATTCGGGGAGGTTCCGGTTCATGGGTTCAATTATTTGCCGAGTAGCCGGGTCGAAGGATATCGGAATTTGCTTTGCTGACTGAACCAACCGCTCGGCGAGGTGATCCAACGTTGAGCAGGCACTCGCAGGTGCCGCAGCGCCGGCAGTTACGGTCACGGTGAACGGTTGACGCAGACCACCTGCGGACTTTGTGCCAATCATGATATTGTTCAAGCTTCAAAGCGAACCGAACGCACCTACAGACCCAAGCGTCAGATACAATATGACCACTGGGTACTCCATCTCTCTGCATCTTGTCTAGCGGATCTACTAGTAGTTGGCCACACACACGCGACCTACAGTTGCCAGCTCTTGCATCAGTCAGTGGTAGATGAAAAATTATTCAGTCCGCAGGTTGGAAGGCTGTGCAGCACTGCAAGGTGCGTTCGGTTAAATCTGTTCCTATACCCGCTGACATAACTGTTGGATGTAATGGCAATGGTTGTAGTCCTAGTCCTACTGCGCAACGGGTTTCGCCTGTGACTGTTTCTTCGCCCGCCATGGCAAAGTCTACTTTCGTTCATGCTGGTGCCTGGATGCCGTTTGAAGATTTTTGCAAAAAAACCTTCTTGACCAACTCTCCGTAGCGTCATGATGCTGAGTTGTGAGTGATAATCAGTTTATATATCAAAGCAACGATTACAGCTGTTTTGCAGTATGTTAGGTAACACAACACTGGGTTCTGACTTTCTAAAATTGATGGCGGTGGTGCGAACCATACTTGGTATCTGTATAGAGAAAGCAACCTCAACCTCTCTCTCCCCGCACCACAAAGCGGATCAGTCTTACTCGCGGCGGTATCCACGTCACGTTGGCGTTCATGTGACTGAATGCTCCAACCCAAAGTAGCTGGTTGTTCCAGTTTGAACCGTTATGCTCATTGATCGTGGAATTGACAAAATTCAATCCTCGCTTATTGCGACGTCTAGCAACAAGTCTCGGTCGAAGGTTTATAAGGCACTCTTTTACCAAGTCCATGATTGCTACGCGAGGGAAAGCAGAAACGTGGACGAGGCCTAACAAACAACCTGCAGGACAATGCGCGCAGACAATAGTTCCTAGGCGAGTACTTGAGAGTGGGAATACCGCTCTGCAAAACTGACTTACCCTTGAACTACTGCAGATTGTTTGTAGATACCCTGAAAAGTGGAGTTTGTCAACTCACCAGCTGGCTGGCGACGATACATTCACTCCTGCACCTAATCTAAAACCCGTTTCAGGGTACATTAAACTCAGAACTAACTAACTAGTTCTGCTGGAAGGACGCTGGTTGATTAACGATTGAACGTAAAGATGTTGGATGCCCGCTGAGGTCGTCGTACGTTGACGCAGGTATCCTGCAATCTGAACAGACTTTGTTCCCTCTTAAATCTTGACTGGGCGACACTGTCTAACGAGGGCTAAACGTTGTTCAAAGTGAACTGGACGCGGCTGCAGGCTCGAGCATCGGAGCTATTACTGCCGGACGCTCTTACTCCAGGAGCATAGCCGAGTGAAGTCGTTCGGGGAGACGTCCCCGACAATGAAAGTGTAAACGTGCGCAAGATAACTTGGGTAAAACCGATTATCCAGACCTATTTTGCTCCCTTCTACTTCGTTTTGAGCTGATACCGCGATTCGTAGAGCTACTTGCTAGGCCAAGACCGATTTGATGTGGTCCAGTGAGGACTTCGTGAACATATTCCCATATTTATACCGTTCAGAACTTGAACAGCCACGCCCACGTAATGGCATCGCCTCTGAACAGCTACGAATTCCAGATATGTGAGCAGACCGTGCTGATATCGTGTCACGGGGGACCGGGGACCCTTGACATCGTGTCCAAGCTTACTTTGATGCTCTAGTCAGGGATGACGTATCCCCAGAGGTTGAAATTCATGCGAAGTGCGTTTCGTTCGCATGCCACTGGCACAGTTCCTGAATATGGTGACGTTGTTTGCAGATCTCCCTACGTTACAGCTTCATCCATTTGGACGTGGTGCCCATATAAGTATTTTCTTGACGTTATTCGTGTACTGGTCTGAGGATGGGCCCCACATTTCAAGGTGGTGAGGATTTTCTGTCACGGCTCTTCCCTTCTCGCTTCTTCTCTGCACGAGAGTAATCTTTTGCTGATGATCGTTAGCCGAATATTTCTCGCCACAACGAGAAAAACATTGTGTGATCCAACATCTGAGTTCGTGCAATTTCTTTTGTCAAATTAAACTGTTCTTGGTATCATTGGTTTCGGAAAGCCTGATGCCAGACACAGGGTTCCCCCCTCCTTGGCGAGGAACGCGTTGTGCTACCCACTCCCTTTCATGACGACTGATAGCACTCTGGGAGGAAAACCACCAGGGTTAAATTGCCGCGCAGCAACCGCACCCTTATTTTTCAGCTTTCGCATGTCATGGTGAGTTGAACAAACACTTCCTCCAGCACTTCGTCATCTACATCGATACTTCGTCTATGCAGTCATAGCAGAGGATAGCAGGTATCACCGCCCACGTCTATTGAAAAGGAGTAAGAGGTACAAAACTACCTCTCGCAGCGCGGACAGCGGATGAAGATGCTGCTGCTGTGCTCTGCCTGGATGCCGCATGTCCGTTACCCAAACTTTCTGGCGCACACATCATATCTTCGCTCGGGTACCACGGGCAGATCACATTACGTCCTGATCATAACATCCTCTGCAACAGTTGCTACACGAATGCTGTCCAAGGTGTGTGCAAAAGCAGTACAAACGCCAATATGTAGCGATGTCGATATGTCACATTATGTCCAAGCAGAATGTGTCACTACTTGACAAGAACTTATATTATTGCACCCGTTATTGTAGAAAAGATCTCAGTCCATTGGTACGACTGAGATGTGGGTGCTTTGAATATATGTTTCCTTCAGTTCTGACTCCCCGGTAGATACTAGATACACATTTTTGTTGCAGATACCAAGAAACGATATTGCCATATTGGAGACAAGGAAATATCTAATAGTAAAGCTGTTCAAATTGCGCGTCCATCATTAATGCTTCCCACATGGCCACTGTTTGGATACTACATAGTGACCTTGTAAAACGGGATGATTCGATCATCACACTGGTACTAGTGGGGGCTGGGTTAATTGGTCTCAGCGCTATCAAGTGATCCAAGATTCACTATTCAGGGTTCGAACGCTCAGGGATCAGGTTGGAATTGATGTGTGGCGCGACCGAGCGCACACGGTGAACGATGACAGTATACTGATATTAATTAGGCGCATTCTTGATTCCTCGAGGCCTCAAGTCCACTATGTGGGAACAATTGCGATTTATCCTAAATAGCAGTTCTCTCGATTAGTAATAAGACCTATGTCACAGATCTAAATCCGAAATTCAAACGCTCACGCATCATATGGCCGCCCCAGTTTGAGAAAGAACTTAATAGTCAAGTGTTTGGGGCAACTTCAAATTGGGATAGGTGCAGTGCGCTATTATCAGACGTGGAGGCCGCACTCAATTGATACAAGATTCGCAGCATATATGCGGCAATGCTGGACCCTGGTACACATAGGAATTACTACTATCAGTGGCTAAGTTCCATCACTGCGATATGCCCCAGATGAGAAGTTCAGAGCCATCTGATCAGATCCGCCGATCCGATACAATGCACTATTAACTCCCACACGGAGGTGCTGTGCGGCCGACAAATTGGTGCACTGCTACTAGGATACCCGGGAGTTTGAGAATGATTTTTACACAGGTAAGTCTAGTACATGCCAGTACTTAAAAGCTTCTTGCGCAATTGTCCCGACCCAAGTTCATCCCAGCATCATGACCTGTGTAAGCTCTTTTGCCAACTCCAAATATTTCAAACTCACCATTACATTCACTAGCCTTCGGAAACCTCTTTTCAGTCTAAACCACACGGTGACGACCAGACACGTGCAGTTGAAAAATCTCTCTATATACTCCCGACCGATGAGCAGGAGCGCAGAAGGTTAGATTATAGCTTGACTTGAATGAAAATTAACAACTCTGGACATAATAGACTGGAAGTTCAACACGAAGTCCTTCGAAACGCATTCGGGGGCCGTATTGTTTTCGCTCCAATTGAACTACACGCAGGAGACAAAGTACTCGACAATGGAGCTGGCTCAGGTTTGTGATCTTCAGAAATTTCGTTCTTTGTTCTGACTGTTGGATCACTCATACGTTAGCGACCTGGCTCCTTGACTGCTATAACGCCAATAAGGAAGCTACCTTCTGTGGAATCGATTTGAAGACGAACATTTTTCCGGAACTCGACGATGTACAAAAGAAACATATAAATTTGGGGGCAGGGAACATTTTACAGCTACCGAACGATTGGACCAACAATTTTCAACTAGTGAACCAGCGACTCCTTATCGCAGCGTTATCCAAAGAGAATTGGAACACGGTCGTGGAGGAGATTTTCCGTGCCCTTGCTCCAGGAGGCTGGGTGCAGCTCGTTGAAGCCAGTCATTGCGTAGCTGGAGAGGCAACGCAAAGACACTTCTCGATGCTTCAAGATCTCTTTGTTAAAAGAGGTCTATTACTCAACTGCGTCGAGCATATTCCGAATGTCCTCAAACACACTGGGTTTGACAACATCACAACACAGCGTCTTGAAATTAGCCTTGGGGGCGGGGATGACGAAGACGGGATGAAAGCTAAAGCTCGGGAGAGTTTTGTTGGCGTCTACAAGGGAATGCAAACTCCAGTAGTGAAGATGGGGATTCGAACAGAGGGAGAATTTAAGGAGTTGGTGGAAGATCTAGAAAGGGAGTGGGAGAGCAACACTCGGTCAAGGGTTATCTTCTATGCCTTTACAGCTCAGAAACCGACCGTGTCGGCTTGAGGCTTCGGTCCGAACAGTGGGTCATTTTGTATATATACAATACATTCTTAATGCATAGTAGAACACATGTACTATTACATGGCAGTGTCACATAAGATATAATGATGAAACACGATGTTGAAACATGCAATCTGGTTCAACGCTTGTCTCGATTTCAAGATGACTTGACTTTGTATAGCTGGCTTTCCCAAATGGCATGATTTAGTTCTATCCAGAACTAGGCTAGTATAGATCGGGCCGGCGCATGTCTGTGGCTGCCCATGTAGTCACATCAGAAGCACGATTCTATATATGCTATTTGCCTAACCCACTTCATCAGATAATGCGCGATGTCCTCACGCCCACCACCGTGACTCAGACGGAAAGCCATCCTTTCACACCGTTGGACTTCGACCTGACTATTCATTTTGCTTGTTGAATACATAGTGCTGCAATTACAGTACGCGTGCGATAGTAGTGTCTGGATCTAACAGGATCAACGTATAGTCTATGTACCTGGAATAGCACCTTCAGAGTTCGAAACACGGAAACAATAATGAGGGCTTGGAACACTTTCTTGGCGAATTGATATTACATGAACCATTCGTGCAGAAAGTATCCACAAATTGTCGTTCTCCGAGTCAATATTTAGACTGTGAGAACGCTCACATAAACACTGACGTTCTCGTGTGAGATACAAGCCTTGCATGTCTTATTAAAGAATTGTGACTTCATCCATTGCATGGCCAGCGGGCTCACCATAAGCATTTGCGATCCACTTGCGACTCGTCGCGGTGTTTAGCGTGTGGAGGAAAGCGGAGCTCGTGCAGGTAGGTCACAAGCATATAGCCTGCACCCTCGTCATATTGCCGAGTCGATATGGGGCTGCAAGTGGGACCCAACAGAAAATAACTAAGGATTCACAGGCAAGAAGAAGAAAAATGATGCGGCGCCTTTGGAAGCGGTTTATTTTTTGCTGTTCGAGGACTCATAAGTATACATAAATCGCAGTACAATATATGAAGTCAGCGCTTTCACAAAGGCCGTATTTCTAGACAAACGAAACTCAACATAGATATATATGATTCTCTCTCTAATACAATTATGAAATTGAACGACTGCAGAGATGGTTGAAACTTGAATTTTTTCAGTGCCGATCAGTGCCGTGACGGAGTTTCAACACCAGCGTACACTTCATTGGAAGTGGTGCAGCGCTGCTGGATATTTTCATCAATATTCTGCACTTATCCAGTTCTCCACTTTCTACAATGCAGCATAATAATCCATCTAGCAGTCCCGTCGCATCATAATCAAACAACCTCATCCACACAATGTACCGTACATGGTCATGGTCCGAGTCCAAGTCTCTGAATCGTTACATCCCAGGCTCAAATTTTCAACTACAGCACAAGTGACTGGTCACCCTAATACTTTGTGAGTAGACATATCTACTAGTAAATAGTAAAAATACTGTACTTGCTTACCCCGAGTACTAACTGAGCTCGCCCTCTTGCTTGACCGTGACTGCCGAGCTCACCGGCCTATGTGACATGCTGACTTACGGTAATAATATTTGCGTGCCGACTTATGTGGGGTGCCGATTGTACTGGAAAATCTTTCAACTCCCTGGCGGGGTTTGTCGTCTCCTCGGCGTTTGGGTTAATTCGCTAGTGGCTGGGAGCCCGATCGCCGAGCTGTGCATCATGGATGTTAAGCGGCTGAAACGCTGGACTTGAAATTTTGAAAAGTCAACGCGCTGCGCAAACTCGTGGTTTGCAAGTTGCCAAAGCTATCTTCCACCATCTTTCCCCCAAAATAACTCTTGATCAGTTTCCCCCTGAAATATATTACAGTGTGTTGCAGAGCAAGGATACAAGTCTGATGCGGCCGCCCATCATAAATCTTGATCCCAATCCGGTTGACCGCAGTTTCCAGGTGCGTGCAAGTTAAGGTTTCTCCTTTCGGGGCAGCCTGTTACATTGTATATTAATATATATCTTTTCGCAATGTCAATCAAGCTACTGACCAATGACTACGATGAGCCACCGTGAATTAGACAACCTCCAAACTTCCCTAAACAATGCGCTGAACAGTTTGCGCGTCGCAATGGACGAGTCGATGCTGTCGCCTTTGTCTTCACAGTATGGGATCGACATGCACCCTTTGGATGGCCTAGACCAGCCCACGCCAGTTGGTGTATACAAAGCCCGCCAAGCAGCACTAGGTATGTCCGAGTGCAACAGGATCAACACACGTACTGATTCTGCCCTCCTAGCATGTGTTGTAAGTCATTCGGCATACTCTTGCTGTGGGATATGCGAATTAATTTTTTCAGGCAGAGCTCAAGAATCTTCTGCAACATCCTTTTGAGAAAGCCGCTGAGAGCACCTTCGCCATGTATGATTTCGCTACCGTTCAAGTCTTTGTTGAACATGGCATTGTGGACCGCATGGCCAAGGAGCCCTCTGGTATCTCTGTCAAAACTCTTCAGTCAGAACTGGACCTTGACGCCCATAAGCTCACCACAGTATTACGCCATCTCTCAGCTTGTGGTTGGATTCGAGAGACTCAGGATGGCATTTTTGCTATGAATCGCTCCTCTCGCATTTTACTACAAGGCCAAAGGGGTCGTGCATTGATATCGTAGGATTTTTTTACATACCGGTTTTGCACGACTAATCTTGTCGTAGGGTTCCTGGCAACATGAAGATCGCAGAGGCTCTTCCTCGATGGCTCACGCATCCCGAATTCAGGTTCTCTGAGTCTCCAGAACATACCGCATTTCAGCTCGCGAACGATACCACGAAGCCATTCTTCGAATGGGCGAAAGACGACAGAAATTATCTTGGTCGTTTTGCAGCTTGTGTTGAGGTTTGCATCATCCGCCTGACTGGCAATACTATACTTATAATCCTTAGGCGATCGGCGAATATGTTACCCCAGGAATATTATCGGACTACCCATGGCAAACGTGCTTGAAATCAACTATTGTTGATTGCGGGGGAGGTAAAGGAAGCCTAGCTATCGCCCTCGCCAATAAGTCAGCACAAAGCTGTTAAGAAGCAACGTAACTGACATATATCAAGATTTCCTGCCCTCCGTCTTGTTATCCAGGAGAGGGAGGAGATGGTCGAGGCTGGCTGAAGCTAATATCAAGGCCCATTTGGACCCCAACTCAGTTCCTGGCACAGTAGTTGCCGAAGCCCGCGACTTGTTCTCTGCTCAACCGCGCACTGGGGATAACTATACCTTCATGTTACGTCATGTTCTGTGCGTCACACCTTCATGTTCCTTTGTGATCCGCTGACGTTCTTTCAAAGACACAACTGGCCCGATGCTCAAGCTGTAAGTTTTTTCACCATCCACATCAAGTCTTAGTTGACGTTTCCAGGTGAGCGTCCTAGAGAAACTCGCTGCAGCCGCAGGACCAGAGGTTCGTTCTTGAGATCACTTTGTAGTCCCGAGAGCATGTTCAATATCTTTCCAGTCCAAGATCCTGATCATCGAGAGAATTTCTGGGCACTATCCCGACACTCACGTCCAGCTTGAACATGACCCAACGAACACGACTGATATTACAACTTCTGCTTCCCTCATAACCGAGCAAACCCTTCTCAATTCTTCATCTCGCATGCCGCACGCACTCGCTTTGCACCTCTTGTGTATTTTAAATTGTCACGAACGAACACTGGTGCGCCTGCTTCGGCTTGCATGAACTTCGCTCACCATTCTTTCAGGATCAGTGGCGGACTATAATTTCTCGGGCTGGTCTTGTCGTCACAGGGCTGTACAAGCTTAGGGCTTATGTGTCTGTTATGGAGTGCCGCGTTATTCACACATAGACGAGAGTCGAGGTGGCCTCATGTCTCTGTTGATAACGTGTTATCCGCTGTAATATGTAAAATGGCGCTGAGGAGTCTTACCGAGCGGTACATATCAAACTGTAGCCAAGCTGGCACCGCCTGGACTGGCCATGCCGTAACCTAAGTTGCCTTGGAGCTGACAGCGAGCAAGAATAACCATACGCTCTAGGCTTCCTAGCCATCGTACTTCTCGATGCATTAGGCTCTCTTGCGGCCTGATACCTGCTGATAACCGTATGTTGGTTCGCGTGATGCGTATCTTTGCGTGCTTCAAAGTTATCCACGGCGTATGTTCCTGATATGTTCTGATAGGTTTGTAATTTGCAATTAACCATCAAGATCACGCGTTATCCCCATCATCTACTACCCAGTGCTCAGGCCGCAAGATCCAGATCTAGATTGATCACTTCCCTCGCGCTCATGTGAGGTGAGTCGCGCCGTGGAAGATAATCCAGCCTGTGCGAATGTCACTCGTGTCAAGTCGGTGGCGTTTTCCATCTGATGGACTCTAATGCAGATAGATCTTATCTGTCGGTAACTTCTCTTCGCCTTTTTGCTGTGGTCCCCAGATTTGAGTTTTGCAATAGACGTCATTGCAGATCAAAATGGCTATACTAGTACGCGGGGGGCCTACCCCCGCTTAATTATCATAGTACCATAGTTATCTATCTCGAGGTGTCCCCTCTTGCACAGAGAGCATTGCCTCGATGTTCGTGTTACTAGATTGCAACATAACGACGTCATAAGCACTCCATTGCAATGCCAATGACTGAGCGGGGTGGAATGTACATATCCTTCGAGCACACACAACATATTAAGGAGGAGGTTGCAGAATTGATGACGAGACCGAGGCCTCCCACCGAAATTGCAGAGCACATGCCACCTTGACAAGCGCAAAGATTTGAACGTAGTTGTTGAAGAGGATTATAGAGGGGTGATAAGAACTTCAGAAGAGATGCCGAACATCGCAATATGATAGGATATTTTTCTGCTATGCTGGTTGTAGGGCTATGTCCGACATAGGGTCTTCCCCAAAATTTTGACTTGAAAAAAACAATGGTACAGACTGGGCCGAATAATGAGAACAAATGTTCTACCTAGGAGGGGAATTAATATAATATGTTGGTGCAGCATGACATGGACGGCGCCGCCGCCACTCGAGGATTCAGAATGTTGTCAACTGATGGGCGTGCCATCCGGATCAAAGTTAAATCGCCGCATTTTGTTACAACCCAATTGAGACTAGTTGATTTTAATCATTTATGCCGCCAAGCGACGAGAAGGCGGCGCCCTCGACGTCTGTAGCCAATCGGATTGTTTTTCGGGATGATGGAAGAAGGCGCCGTCGCTACTACACGGTTTTCATATCCATGTCAGAGAATCAAAACTATCCGCTTCAAGTGACCTTGAGTTCGGCTACGTTAATACTAAGTACTAATGACTAAATTTTAAATCCAGCAGTCTTCCAAGTTCCTGAGCAGACTATATACAGTCGTTCCTTTAATACTAAGTAGTATATATTGTTGCATTCGACTCTGGGTTATGTAAATCGCAAAAGAGACAAGTTTGAATGGGGGTACAATGTAACATTAAGCGGAAAAATCATTGTAGTTCTACAAGCTCTATACATCTGTCGTCGTGTCGGCGAATAACCGACTTGTCATAATATGTCCATTTCAGCTCTGCATTACTAGCAACGCCTGACTTACGCAGTCTCCAAGCCCAATTTGCCTCGTTGTAAGACAGCTTTGAAACCAAAGTGTTCCTCCACACCGAAGTTCTCTGTGGGGTTGTACATCGTATGAATGGGCTTTCGCGCGTTGATCTCGCTCAAAACGGTCTTAGCTTCCTCATCAGCATCTCCGAGCAAGCGATCGATATCGCTCTCTGTCATGACGGGTGCATCTGGAGAGGTTAGAGAAGGATCCAATCTATTCAAAGTTCAGTATGGGATAATTTAGTTGAATAGATTAGGAAGACTTACCTAGCTTTGACTGCAGAATGCATCTCGGGATCAGTGGGTGCGAATAAATGACGACAAAAGTCCATAGTTTTCTGTTAATTGGATTGAGGATGTCGCGGAAGATAATCGTAGAACATACGTACCTGGAGTTCGTCTTCTGTCAAAGCTTTACCAACATCTGCTGTTCCTTGTATCACTGCATTCAGGTGTCAGGATTTGCAGTAATAGCAAAAACATCAATTCATACCTGGCCTGATGAGATCAAAGGCTCTATCAAAATTGTCCTCATCCACATCACTCATCACCGGCATAGTTTGATTTCGGATCTGTTTGTAGGTTCCAAGGACGACAAGAAGAAACCTGTGACATACATTGTGTTAGAACCTAGTTGTCATCGCTCCAGTAACCGAATTCACATGCCTCGTGTAGGAGACGGCAATCTTTGAAGTGTGCCAACGTTGTGCGTTTCCTTCGCTGCATAGTCCTCGAATCGACGCAGCGATCGTGAGAGCAGCCGAAAGTCCTCCTGTGAGAGCCAAATGGATACCAGAGGAGAAGAATGGGTCAATGAATGCTTATTAATTATCAGTTACAAATACTACAAAACATCAAGAAAAATACCTCCAGAATCCCCCGCCAGCCGGAAATGATCTCCGGCATAAGAGGAGGCCGAGTAGCTAAAATCGCTTGCAGATTTCACAGCTTCTGGTGTGCCATCGTTTCGAAGAGTGGCCCTTCCTATCAATTTGAGGACTCCAGGAGCTCTGCTTAAAAGTTCTTCCTTATAATGAGCCAGAAGATTTGAGCCAGATCCTCCTGAGGCTCCACGGGAAGCTTTCTTCTTGCGAGTGCTTGATTCTTGATCCATCACAACTCCCACAGATGTAGATCCATCGTGAAGAGGAATGAACCAAGCCCATCCGGACTCGTCTGCAGACATTGAGCTTAGTCAAAACCTTCGAGTTGTTTTCATACCTGCAAGTGCTTCGACAAAGATAGCATTCTGGCGAGTGGTACCCGGCATGTAACACTCGGTTCCATCCCAGTATCCCCAGCATGCAATATTGTTGAGGGCCTGATTATAGCGTCTGTTCTTGAGATACTTCGTGGATATGATCCCGTTCCTGCCTGACGCATCAACTAGGTAGCTGAAAGAGATACGGCCCTCTATTCCAGTGCTGGCATTCCTCCAGCTGGCTGAAACAGGTCTTTCGCCCTCGAACTGAATTTCAGTAACTCTTGTGTTGTCGAACACATTTGCACCACTCTTCGAAGCATGACGAAATAGCAAATCGTCAAATTCCGATCGAATCTGCAAAACGATGAGACTGAAAGCATATTTCCAATATATTACATACCACGTTCCAAGACGCATTGTTTGGGTTTAGCGCAACGAAATCTGTATCTGGAACGAACAATCAGCATTAGCATGAGATGTACTAGGATGACTGTGGCTCACATCCTTCTCGCTTGAACTGGTTCAACTTGACTGCAGCTCCAGGCTATAAGAGGGTGACTGTCAAATGTACTCCGACGCACTGAAGACTATCCAAACCTTAAGTGTGAATCCGTAGTTCATGACAGATTCTTCTGCATCAATAAATGCCAGGAAGGAGCGGACCGACGGGAGCAAGCTCTCGCCAATATGGTATCTAGTACAATTATGTATTAGTGACTCTGTATGCCGATGACATATATCATATGTGCTGACCGAGGGAACTTCGCAGCTTCGAGCAGAGTGACTTCAAAGCCTTCTCGAGCCAAAGCAGCGGCTGCGTAACTTCCGGCGGGTCCGCCACCGACAACAAGTATTTGAGTTGAGATTGGCTAGCCAGTACTTTCAGCTAAATTCACTGTAGGAGAAGAATCGATATCAGCCACTTACAAGTGTTTGAATGGCCATTCCGTCGAAGTGGATTTTGTATGAAAGGGGAAAGTTGCAATAGCCTTATATATGGCACCGAGAACTCTGTGTCGTTAATAACGCAGTGTGATAAGACCCCCGCATCCCGAGAAGAACCTGGATCATCTCAACTGAGAGAAAGTCAGTCAACTTGGCCACCACGTGGGTTGGGCGGTTGAGTCACATCAGAATTGATGAACAATGTACTGCAGATTATCAGGTCGTCACGGAAGTGCATGAGAGCGCGGTGCAATAAATTATAATATTGTTGCCATGTACAAGTGTAGACAACCACTAAGTTGTATAAATCAAGTAAGCATCGGAAAACCTCAACGTGAGACCGCTTAGCATCATTACCCGGGACCCTTCCGGTGCGGTCGGCACCCCACAGAAGTCAGCACTTTCACAAAACTCATATTTCTAGCTACTTACAGTCGTTTGCAGAATGCTAGGCCAGTCGTCAAAAATAAAACAAGGCTGCGTTGTTTCATTGCGATGTCCAATCAGCTACCATGAACTGACGTAGGACCTGTACTCGGCGTCCTATGGTACGATTGATTGCGATCGGGAGTTGAAAGTTCCTCTTGCCGACCTATGTTTTCTTTTTGCGGACTAGCCTTATAGCGTTCTGCAAAGTTCTTAACATAAATATAATTTTCTCTCCAATCCAACTCATTACAAGGTTGAACGACAGAAGTGAGTGAGATAAACGTTGAAAGTGCCGCAGAAATATTGTGCCGTGACGGAGTTTCAATACTGCACACACTGCCGACTTGCACAATAGCTAGTGCAGCGCTGCTGAATATTTCCATCAATTCTCAGAGCGCTAATCGAGCTCTCCGTGACGTCCTACAATAAAACGGAAACACCCGCGTTGTAGGCACACTCGCACGCACTCAAGTACTCAGTACTCATTAATATTACCCAAGCCTTCCATTTCTGTAGTCACCGGATTCCGCGTTCGTGGTTGTGCTACCAGAATCGGAATCCCTCGGAAAGGAGACCAAGTAGGTATCAGTATTAGCATTGGTGGCCCGAGTGGGAATATAAAGACCTGCTCGAAAATATCCAATTCATCATATATCATATCGTGTCGAAATGTATTAGAATCAAGGGTGGGGAATTCAGCGAGAGTGGCTACCGCATCCAGCGGATTGAAGTTTCGTACTATTTATCTTTTGGGGAAGTTCAAGTTCCGCCACCTTCGCGCCTAGTCACTGTTGAGACCGAGGCAAGTCAAGGTATGTTGACGCCAAAGTAGAGACACCAGAACATAGCTTAGTTTTGTCTCTTCAAGTTTATTGTCTGTAAAGCTTTTTTAGAGTCGAACACCCCTATACGCAGCATACACACAATCAGTCGTATCGTGTGTGTGCTCTATCATGTTGATTATGCAACGTGTGCTCTTAGCTCGGCCAGCGAGCGTTCGGGTCCCTGAGCCTACCATACTGGTACTAGTTTTTTGATCAGTGTTTATTGTCCTTTGGGGCGATGTCCTATGGTAGACAAAACTGGCACTAGTGCACGTCTACCGGGAACCTCTGGATAATCTATATAAATAGCATAGTAAGCAGATGTGAAAATCCAATGTGGCACATCAGTTTAGCCTGAGCGTGAAGCTACTGGGCTCCTTGGGAGCTTTGATTACTGCACCTGCTAACATTTCAATCAATCACTACTCACTTATAAGCCCTAAACTGAGTACCAGCACATAGTAGGTAATATCGGGCCGCTTTATACCAGATGATTGGAATTTTTTTGAATTTTTGGTTATTATCCACCGGAGCCAAGCCCACAGTCCTGGCGGCGTTTGCGTGACACTAATAAACGTGAGGCGAGCGGGCAACTGAGTTGGGATAGAGCACGAACACACGATGAAAAGGAGCGCGCCGAAGGCACAGGAACAAAATCATAAGAAGGTACCAGAAATATTCAGTGCGATTTTTCGGAGGACAATTTAGCCTAACAGCTGGTTGAAGGGGAGTGAGCCGACTCGCTCTCAAAACGCCTGCCGCATGATTGCCAAATGCTTGGCGTCTTCCTCATCTAAAATTGTTAGAACCGCGTTTTCCTCGGGCGTCAATGACGAGCCTGCCACCATCGACTGCCAGTAGGTTGACCTCGAGTAACTCGAGCATATCGCTCGTGTACAATCGAGCCAGGAAGCTGGCGGCTGTAGGAGCTTGCTGGCTGTATATGGTAGGAGCTTTCGTTAGGAGGCGCACGCGCAGCAAGTACTCCACTTTGTATCGCATTCCGGGAGCCGATTGATCCACAGACGATTGACGACAGAATCTAGCCCGTCGACCGCGGCCTCTTGCTTGAGTGGCTGGGAATGCAGGAGCCTGTCACTTTACCCAGCCTTCGAGATTGGCAGTGTTCTTCCGTGGCTAAACGAAATTTGGATGGCGTCTAGAAACACTTTTACTAAAGTTTTGAGTCAAGTTGCGACTTGGCAAGTACCTTGTCCAACCTGAGTGCACACGTGATCACCCCTACTGAAAAAAGTTGTTACAGCTTTCGAGCAAAGTATAGCGGCCTGGGGAGTCACGTTTGCACCAGTTTCCCTCCGCCCTTTCGCTCAGTCAAATTAGTGAAAAGAAAGGGATTGAGAGGAGAACAACATCATTAACTTTTGAGCTTCCAGCATATTTAGGCTACTGATCAGACCGAAATTCGAAATCTTTCGCAACAATATCGCGATGTACGGAGTAGTATCGTGGTGCTGGAATTCACTTTTACGATGTTCAGGACCCTACCAGTGTCTTCACTCGACAGACTAACCAGCAGATATACTGATACTGGCAATCATGACATACAGAAATGATATGTCAGCTGCCTGGGGACCAGACTAACGAATTTACTGGATCGTTGTAAATGAGGGTGGATGTTTACTGGTCACTGTTAAACTTCCAGATGCGAACCATGCCATTGAATGATCATATTCAACATCATCAGCAAGATTTGAGCTGAACTCGAACTCGAGCTCGAACACGTGAATGAACGGGTATAAATCTGACCAACGATGATAAATCGGAGAGATCGTACTACCAATGCCCTGCCATTGTGTGGTGTAGTGCGAGGGATGAAGGAGTACACAGTCGAGAATTGCCCAAGGGCTCCTTCAGAGACCGATGTGTATTACGGGCGACCGTGGTACAAGAGGTCAAAATATGTTCATCACAACACAGGTGTCCTCGGGGTTCCATTGTGGCGCAGAGGCGACCGTGACCTTTCAGGAGATGCAAATGGTGGTGAAACAGGTGTGGTGAAAAACACTGGTCGCGGCTGCGTCTCTAGGCCACTTCCAGCAGACGGGATCCCAGACGGATAGACAAATAACGGCTGGGCCACATACGCTGGGTACAATGGCCCAGAGTATTGTGGGTTGCTAGTACTGTCTGATGATGGAGCACCATCTGAAGAAGGCGATCTGGACCTCCCGCCAGATAACTGTCTAGAGAACATGAGGTTCGCAGTGCTCGGGCTCATGACATATGGCCTTGGAGCTGGAGCAGGCGAGTTCTGGACATGATGTGGAATACGGCCTGTAGATAAAGGAGTTGATGGACCTGAAAGCAAGTCCAAGGTTCCTTTGTTTCGCTGGTTATACCAGCTTTTTGATGTCTTGGAGTACCGTTGACGGCTGTGCCTCCTCCGATCACCCTGCCCAGGAACATATTCACTTGAGATACGAGCCGGAGAAATCCATGGAAGGCTGCTAAGGTCCCGCATGAATCGCCGAATACGTGCCACTTGAGAGGCAATGGATTCCTCTGGTGGGGGACGAATGGGAGACTCCATCTTTGCAAAATCCTCTGCAGGCCGAGGCTCCACAAGGACAGGAGTCGCAGTAGCTTGGGTCGAAAGATGAATGGTACGAGGAAGGGAAATCGCTTCAGTGGAACGGTTGAAGGGATGAAGAGTGGAAATTGCGTCGGTAGAGTGGTGGAATGGATGGGAAGTGTTTAAGGTATCGCCGTGGAAATGAGCAGGGAAAATATCATCATGACTGTGCGAGCGACTAGGTTCGTACAACTCGTTGACAGCCGACAATGTCCGGTCACGCCTTGTATCCGTAATGGATACATCAGTATCAAGTAGAATGTTTGGTCTTGTAGGAGATAGCATGTCGGACGGGGGCGTGTCAACTCTCTCGACTTGGGGCACATTATTTGCTAGTACTTGTCGGTGTACGAGCGATATCCCTGGAGCTTGAGGATTCGGTTGATAGGGGGGTATTGTGATCCCCTGCTTCGCTGGCTTGGCATGGTCCTTTGAATTCAAACGTCCTCTCGACATGACTCTCGGTATGCTTTTCAACCCATTCATGAGCCCGCCGTAAAACTTCTTCTTCCCCTGAGGTTTCCTCTCATGTCCCTCTGAAGACCCGTATCCATTCTCCTCGTCGGCACCTGTGTCGTCGATGCCAACAGTCATGTACTCGTACTCCGAGTCTGACAGAGTGGGCTGCGCTGTATGAAGTGCTGGACGCATAACAGGAGTGGAATGTTGCCAGTGAGGCGTCTGAGGGGTTTGGGTTGCAGGGTACTGGGATGGCTGAGAGGCCGAAATCCAAGTAATATCTCGGACACGCGATGCATGGCTTGCCCTGGAATATCTGTCCCTAGGTATTGGCTCTGCAAGGTAATCCCGAGGAGTACTGGGGGAACGTGAGAAGCTCGTATCAATACGAATGTCTCCGAGTCGAGATTGCCCATATGAGTCGGGCTCAGACATTGCAATAGACAGTCAGGGTAAATGGTACAGCTAGCGGAAGTGGAATATGAAGAAGCGCATAGAAGGCGACATGGGTCCTTATATAAGTGTGGTCGGCGTAGAACTGTACTAGGAGTGAACGTCACGTTGTGACACGAGGCTCCGGCAAGATCTGAGATTAAACAGATCGTGCCACTCAGAGCACTGAAACGCATGCTCAGTCTTGCAGTTCATCACAGCCGAGCATGCATCTCTCGCATGGTATGAGACTGACTGCAAGAAGAACGACTGTGACAAAGTAGTCAGAAGACAACAAAAATCCACCCTTTGGCATTTATATTTCAGTCATGCAGGCTACAGCTTACGATTTTCGCCAGAGGCTTTTCTTGTATCATATTGACACCACTGGGGGCGGTGGCAAACGGCGATTAACAAGGCATTGACACAACCGGCAGCGGCAATGCATTGAGATGCGTGCTCCTCCCCACGAATCGGTTAGACGAAAGTATGGCCGACAGCGGTGCAGGACAGCCCTATTCAGAGTCTTCTGCCCATTATGTCCGGGATGGAAGAAATGCATGCTACCCAGCATGCCGCGAACAGCTGTGGGCGCTGACCCGGCACAAAGCCTACACAAGTCACGTGAACTTGCAACATCATTACCAAAATTGCTGAATCCATACCATAATCTTGTACCAAGCAAAAGCTGGCGGGATGCCGACCTCATGTATCCCTAGTACACTAGATAGAACCTTCAATAGTATGAGCTTATCAGTGATTGGCACTGATTGCGCTTTAACTTTTGGCAGTGGAATCTGATCACGTGCGCACAGGATTAGTCTCCCCTAGTCAGACCATATAGAAGGAGGACAGTCGTTCCTTCTTGCACAGGATGGCAAGTGAGCGCTCAAGCTTGAAATTTCTCTAGCTGGATGTGAATGTGCAAGATACGGCCGATCTGGGTGCATGTCCGTGGGGATGGACTCAGTTTCCGCCCACAGCAACTTCAAGCGGAGTTGGATGACAAAGCTGCCCGCTTGCTCACCCCGCCACATAGCACGCAGCCCGCTGCCTGAAGTGCCCGCCGCCCGCCCTGCAAAGGCGTTTTCGATATAAGCCCCATCCAAACCCTGCCCGAGGCCTGAAGCCTGACTACCCTGCCCGGGCGCCTTTCACATCTCATTTTCCCCCTCCCCAGTAAGTACTCCCTGGCTATTCGTGTGCATCTCCCGCATCGCACCGCTGTCGTGTTCTTTGCATTGAAATACAGCTCATTATTTCTTACGGCTGCTCACCGTTGTCAGCACCTGGCGGTAGCGTCACTGCCGGTACACTGGCATACCGTACGTCGGGCCTACGCCTAATGATACACTCTGGCACCAAGTACACCATTTGCACCCATCCAGCCTCTAATACTCTCCGGGCTTTCCAACACGCTTACAGCAACCAAATGGACCCCCCCCCCCCCCCCCCATCCAATCCTTTTCTGGCTCCTTCGGATATCCAGTCTCACTGTCTTTGGAGCATTTTTCTTCATCTCTACCACCACCTTCAAATACTTTGTTTCGTTATCTTCAGGGACATAGCGCCGCAAATACTGTGGGCGGTATACACTAACAGGGCTTCAGGTTCTACATAGGGCAAGACATGTATTTCTTTCAGCCCGGGTAAGTATGTGCAAGAGTACTTCCCTCATCTTGCAGGCACATTTGCCACCTGTCTGATGCGTCTCTCACCATTGTTTATCGACCCGCCATCATTCAGACCTCCCATGTCAATTGCGGTAGACAGGCATCAGTGCATCAATGATGCCCCTCGCTCGTTGCCTGACACTGAAGAATCTTCCTGGCGGTGTATCACTGGTTTGTCAAAAGTTTTCACTCGGTTAGATGTGTGTAGTGCACAAATAAAAATTCCTTTCATAACTACGGGCATCGTGCATACACCAGATCATGGTCAATAAGCCATTTGGCCCATTGGGCGGCGGTTCCCGTCACGATAAGCGGAGGCTTGGTTAACCAAGGCACACATAGTCCCCGAACTATCCATCGGGCTCAAGTACCCGGACTCCGCGATTATCGGACTTTCTGATGATCAATCCCGACTTCGTTTGGCCACGGAAGAACATTGTCACTCTCGAAGGTAAAATGTCAAACTCCCGCATTCCCATATTTTACATAAACACCACTCGAGCAAGAGGTCGTGGTCGATGGTGACTCTGACCAGTGCCGTCAATTCTCTTAAGCTTGTGACCATGACCTGTAATCGACCAGCTCCTCGAATGCGATGTAAAATGGAGTACTTGCTGCGCGTACTACTATCTAAAACAGCCCGAAAGCTCCCATACTTGTCAACTTCCTGACTCTATTGCAGACAAGCGACTCAAGGTCAGTCAGGTGGCAGTCGATGGCGGCAGGCTTGTCGCTGACGCTCAAGGAAATGCGGTTCTAACAGCTCTGGATGAACCACACGTCAAACATCCGGCAGGCATTTTAAGAGTGTCTCCACTTCGCTTCAAACAGCCAGGGGAAACCGTCCTCGCAAAAATCGCGTCGATTGTTTTTGGTATCTTACAGGACTTCTTGTGGATTTATTCTTGTGCCTTCGGCGCGCTCCTCATCGCACGTTCGTGCTCTATTCTGTCTCATATTCCCATTCGCCTCACGCTTTGTTAGTGTCACTCAAACACTGCCCAGACTGTAGTACTTATCATGCTCCCACATGCTTGTATTCTAGTCGTCCGGCTCTAATGCAGCAGCTTGTCATTGCTTGTCTGCTGGTACTCGTGGGGCTTTAGAAGTGAGTCGTGGTTGAATAAAATGGTGAACGTGTGTCCTTACGGGAATAAAAAGTCAAGTAGTCTGATGGCTTCACGCTCAGGCCAGTCGTCACTACACCGGGTTTTCACATCTACTTCATGATGGGTACCATGTCTATTTATCATCTAGCACATACACACAATACGACTGATTATATGTATGATAATCTGGGGCGGGTCCCGTATGCGTATAGGGATGCTCGACCCTCAAGGTCTTAAGGTCGATAAACTTAGAGGAACAAAACTGAGCTGAGCTCTGGTCTCTCTACCTTAGCATCAACATACTCCGACTTGCCTCGGTCTTGACATTCCAATAGTCACTAGGCGCCAAGGTGGCGGAACTTGAACTTCCCCAAAAGATAGACAGTACGAGAGTCTAATCCGCTAGATGCGGTGGCCGCCCTCACCGGATCCCCTTACTCTTGGTTCTGATGCATTTTGACGCCATGTGATATGATGAACTGGATATTTCGAGCAGGCGCTTTGTATTCTCACTCGGGCTACCCATACTGATACTAATACTTACTTAGTCTCCTTTCCGAGGGGTTCTGATTCTGATGGCACAGCCACGAGCGCGGAATCCGGTGGCTACAAAAATGGAAGGTTTGGGTACTGAGTACTGAATGTGTGGGTGTGTAGGTGTTTTCGTCGTGTGTTTATTTTTCCTCCGCTTTGATTCTCTTGTATCATGGATCTGCATAAAACCGATTTCAGGTACTCACTCAGTGATCCGTTCCAAGTTTGAAGCCTCAATTTTAAAACACCGACAGGTTTCGGTGGACGTTGCAGGTGCGACTTTCAAGTATTAACTTGATTAGGAATCTCACGTATAATATGTACGAGGACTGTACAGTAGCTGGTTATAAATAATGCATTTATGGCCCACAAAAAGAACCAGGGGAAAGGGAGAATGATTAGGCGGGTATTTGAGCTCGACAGGACACAGGGTGCTCCCAAAATGGGAAGTCACCCAAAGTACCAAAAGCATCCTGGTATGTACATCTCGGCAAAGGTACGCAACTTTGTGCGTTTATCACCTGTGTGCGTTTTATGCGTGTATCGTAGTTGAGCGGATCAAGCGTCATATTCTTGCAAGTCTTCAAAACATGTGGTTATCAGGCTGATTACACGTCGTAATGCGAAGGCGCCCCTTCCGCAGACTCCGCTGTGCATGTCGATGGTTGGTCTTGATGTGTAAATTTGGATACATGGACTCGCAAAGGCTTCATGGCATATTGTCGTGACTGTTCTTGTTCTGCCTCGCTGGTCGTTCGTCTAGGAATACTGATACTAGTAGTCGAGATATAACTGCGATCTTTCTTGTTGAGTGCGACGCGAATAAGCACCATATAGAAGGCAATCGACATGATCGGCATGGCCTAGTCATTCGAGTTCAATGTGTTTCGATAACAGGCGTTAACGGCGGACTTACCATGTCTACGACAGCGTCCTGTCCATTGTTTCCGCAGACGAACAACACCAGTGCAGTAAATAGCGCCGCGGAGTACAAAATAGCGGCATCCACGAGCACGCGCACTATCGGCATCACAGTGCCCCTCACTGCAGAGTTAACCCCAGAGACGCCGCGTTGGATGACCCAGATACGATATGCCAGTAATCCTGGATATACATTCAGGGCTCGATGCCGCGCTCGTGCAAGCATTGCTTACCTGAGCTCAGCAAATTAGTTGCGATTGTCGAGGCAAAGAACGCCGCGACCCATCGGGCAAGCGCTTCGACGAAGATCCCGGAGCCAGTACTGGCTTGCGAGACGCTGTAAATTGCGATGACACCAGTCGCTTCGAGGCAATATCAGGGCACGTGACGGGCTGAGCATGACTGTGACTAACCTGCAACACTGCACCACAATATAATCGGTAGGACGATAATCCAAACGGATTGCCAAACGACATAGCAACGGTAAATCTGTTTACCAGACCAGGCACTTCGATCAGCCCAGAGGGTTTTAAGCTGATACATAAAATTACGAACTCACCACTACACCATCGGCAAGAAGAGTTTGCATCACATAAAACGAATGTTTTATTACATAAGTCTTTTGTGAGACATCTGCGAAATATGCTGATGGTCCGCCTGTGTACGTGTTGGCATACTTCACCAATCCGTCTTCGGCTCTGATGATATTCACGACCATGTGCTTCGGAGACGTCAATCGATAATATTTGAGCACAAGAGGCGAGAAGCTAACCGCAGTACTCAGTATTAGCAGCAGAACTGCCACAATAAGAATTGGGAGATTAATATCTTGCATGTGACGTTTGTGGGTCAAAGACCAGATGGTACCAATGAACAAGAGTATCGAAAAGCCTGCAGAAAATCAATATTAGCTCAGACGAACATATTGCAACGTCACCATATAAAATTCCTTCCAGCACTGTCGACATTAACGCCCCTGCATCCAACGGTATGCCCGGTGATCCCATGGTGAAGAAGAATGGATGCCAGGGAGATGTGCGATAGCGTGGGCGCTTTCTTATGTATCATTATATATAGAAACGGATTGTCATATATATGCGTTACTGCGAGGTTGACCAGGGGCTAAAATGGTGTTGTCTCGTGCACAAATGACTGACATGCATGTATATTTTTGATGCGGTGCGGACACAGCGTGGGGCGTAGGAGTGTTTCTATTTGAGAGAAACGTAAGCTTGCTAGTTGCTGCAGTGCTTCTAGTGCGGACCTGAGTGGACAATTTACAATTTAGGACATGAAACCCAGCTTCCGCTTACTTCGAGCGGTGCGATGTACCATGCATATCATACACTGCCGGAGATCAATTCCGCGAGGGTAACCTCCGAAATTCCACGCCCTGCAAAATTAGGGACTCTGATATGATGGACTACAGATCTAGTTTCGATGCCATCTTCATCAAACCATATCACTCATCGAGACTAGCACTTCGATACGGCGAGATATCATAGGGCAACTTGAACATGCCTACATTCATCATCGCACGGTCCTCACAACCGTTCTTGGCTATCATAATGATGGACCCCTGGTAATGCTTATAGCAAACGTGTCCAATCAAATTTAGGACAAATACACCCGGATGACGACCCTTTGTTCAGACTCTATCTTCTTGGTGCACTAGATTACGTTTGTCTTATCGTACAGTGACAGCACGGTTTTCTATTGCGAGCCCACGAATTATACAATTCAAGTTAATAAGGCACTTTCACGTTTTTCGTGAAAACACGTGCGATCAGAGCCGTATCGCATGGTCAGTCAACACTGTCTTACCGAGCTTCATGAACCAGCAAAGTACTCGCGAATGCCTTGGAACCAGCTCTAACAGGCATAGTATTGAATGTCGGTGATAAATGCGCGAGCTTTGGAGAATGCTCAACCTCGAACGGACACATACTAAAGCAAGCGTCAACACCGTCTCACTTCCGTCGAACCGACGGTCCACTCACCGGCAGTTTCCAGCATCCGACCATGTGTCCTAAGGAACACGTCATAGTGCAAAAACCTTGCAACAGAAGGAAGTTGGCTAGGAACCACCGGGACAACGCAGATAGATAGGCCGGACATACCGAGGAACCGCAGCACCAGCAGCCTCGCAGGCTTGAATCAACGTGGACCCTGCACGATAATTTGCTCTGCAGAACATGTACGTACATTGTGGGACCGTTACCTCCTTCCCGTCATGATATCAGCTTAGCGTGCAGCTATAATACATGAACGTCCCAAAATAAGACAGACGCCATGACAGGCGCACCTTCACGTGAAGTACCACAGCAAATGAGTCCTTCCCGAATCGCCAGGTGGGCCACGAGATAACCGTAGCATGAAGGTACAATCCGGAGGACCAAGAAATAAGTCAAGAAATTGAACAATTGCAGGTCGCACGGACGAGCGCTATCAATTTAAAGGCAGTAAATATCGGTGCTCGTCGAAATATTAGATGATCGCTATATTTCACGCCCCGCGCCCCCGACCAAGCGTCAAGGAATATAAATAACGCGGAGGATGTGCTCAGTCAGCTTCTCCAGTTCCCGACACAATTATCTGTACATTTTCTTCTAGGCTTGGACTACAGATGTGCGTTTGCTGAATGAACAGGTAATCCAATGACGCTGGGGAAGCCAATCGATGATAGGCTTATCGGCGAATCCAAAATATCGGTTTCGTAAGCTAAGGTCCGAGTAATAGTCCATATATATCCCCCTACCGCCCAATGTAGCTGTGGCGCAAGCCTGTACACCTACAGGGGGTATAGTATAAAAGATAATCACTGCCTTTAAGATAATCATCTTACGTCAATAAGTCCTGCACAATTATCAGCCGAAACTCACATGAGGAACAAACAACTGGAAGAGGCCCTTCGAAGGGTTGACGCCGTGGTCTTGTGTCAAACAGAATGTTACTATGCATTCGTGCGGCATGCTGATTGGAGAAAGAATATTAATGAATGGACGCGTTTTGCGCTTCCGTTCCGCGCAAATAAACAATCGCGATCTGATCGGCTGCTGCCTGAGAGGCGCCTCGCAGAAGATGGCGGAATGCTGATTGTGGGTGGCCAACCTGCTAGCGCCAGAGGCTTCGCATTCGCGTGAACGTTCCTGAGAAGAACGTTTATAGCGGTCCTGACAATTGAATGCAGTAAACTTGACATATCATTTTAAATCACCTGCGAAACTAAGAACAACGCGGTGTCAGTAAGGTCTGCAGTAAGAAATAACAAGACTTGTATGTACAATCATCTCCCGTATTCGCAAAAGCTTCAATTGGAAAGAACAAAACACGTTCATTCCGGCAGCTTGATTCCTGTCAACAATCATATTAGATGACAGTGCAAGCTGGATCAACATATATGCCATCCTTCTGTACATAGTCACTAGACTTGCGAAAATAACAGAGCGCCCTGACATAGTCTTGTGAGCCAACCGTTGATTTGTACAATGTCAGGATATGCTTCATTGCGCGGGATTGTGAACGGAAAGGCAAATGTGATATACCTGGTCCTAGTTTGAAAAGGTCTGCCACTTCGAGTCGCAATACTAGCTGAGACTTCAAGCTTCAAGCTCAACTGCTGCGTGGTTACAAACCACACGTTCCTAGATGAAACCTCCGAGTCTTGCGTTATAATCACAGGCTAGATTGGGAGCGCGAACACTGTCGGTAATGGCATATTCGAATTCGCGTTTTGGATTTGAAGACAAGTTGTTGAAGAAGCCGTTGTTGTCTCCTGTTGTGCGATGGTACCAGCTGGGTCTGACTCGAACCTGAACGTGTCATCCATTGATTTTAAAAAAGACTAGGATCGTTGTGGCACACTGCCAATGGTTAATATTGGGAACTCTCATGCATATACTTCTTGGCATTTCTTGGAGAGCGCATGACGCTGATGCCAATGACAACCTAGCCCACGCTCTTGATACCAATAATACAACTCTCCAGAAACAAGCAGCTTTAAAAAACGGCTTCGTGTATCTATCATCCTCCCACTGCGCATATACTCACCTTGCCATCTAAAACAACTCGGTAAGACTGATTCCCGTACTCCTCACGCTCTATTTTTCATATCCTTACAGCAACATTCCAAAGAATATATCTGCGGCGCCACCCACGCTCCCTTCAAAAGATATCGAACTCCTTGAACCAAGAACCCCGTTCCAAATGCAGAATCCGCACGAACTCATCAAGCTAGACGCGACAGGCCGGCAGCTTTAGGACTCTCGGGGTATCATATAATAATCCGTCCGAGGTCGAAAGCGATCTCAGTGTCTTCAACGACGTGGCAATTTCTTACCCGGCAGATCCTGATACATCCGTCCCGAACAAGGGAATGATGAAGATTACGGATGGAGTGTATATAGCGATTGTAGGCGCCTCAATGGTGGCACATGGGTTCTTGAACGTCTCTATGAGGCGATGGATATCAATTACGTCTGTGATCACGTCGTCGTACATTTGATCCTATGGCCGAACTTGGCCCCATGTCCAGACAAAGATTGATCAAACCTGTTCTCCGGGACAAATGTTCCCCTCTGAGATCAGGTTGTAGGGAATATCCGGGGTCCTGAATCCTTACCAGGTAGTTGGCCTGTTTCTCATGCATATTTATAGTGCTGAAACACATAAACAGACCCCATAATTAGTCGCCGGGGCAGTCACCATCTGATGAGCAAGGGATCACCAGTGCATATAAGATACGGGCACTAAAGAGTAGTCTACAACGATCAAATGTCTCCTTCATCCCCAACAGAATTCGACATCATCTTTGCTGGAGGTCAATATTAACATCCTTTGTCGTGAACTATCTTAATTTCGTGTTTCGCGCAGGTGGTGCTACAGCTTGTGTCGTTGCAGGCCGCCTAGCAGCATGTGATTCCTCGCTGAAGATATTGATTCTGGAAGCTGGTGAACACACCCTCGACAAACCTGCTCATGTTCAACCTTACCAGTATCCATTCCATATGGCCCCGACGAGCACGACACTTACATTTAACTTCGGAAATCCCTCTCCACGTCTCAACGGGCGGGGATTGATTGTTCCGTCTGGTCGTTCAGTCGGCGGAGGATCAACTATCAATTGTCTGTAGAATTTTTGTCGAAATGAACAGGGTGCTGATATACAGACAGTTGGAGCGTACACTCGTGCGCCTGCCTCCGATTACGATGATTGGGCAGTCGAAGGTTGGGAATCGAAGAATCTAATTCCTCTCATGAAGAAGGTCCTCGAATGAGCTGACTATATATTTATCATGCTGACACTCACATTGCATAGTTGGAGACGTACGAGGTGCAGCCTGGTCGTCCAACTCACGGGTATACTGGACCTGTCAAGGTGTCTTCTGGCGGGCATAAACTAGGTATCTGCGAAGAGTTCATCCGTGTTGGTACGACCTATCACAAGAGGCCATATTCCGACGACACCAATGATTTAGAAACGTGCAATACATACAGCGTGAGTTTTCTAATCTGACTTCCGTGCCTGCAGCCGCTGATTCCAGCTGTATCAGCCATGGGCGAAGTGAGCATGTCCTCGTAGTTTATTGTGGATCGGATTCATGTGTGAAAAGGTATATTGATGGCACCACTGGAAAGCGTTCCGACGCAGCCCACTGCTACGTCTACAACCAAGCTCAGAACCCGAACTTACAAATCTGGGCTGGCAAGCGCGTGACGCGCGTCATCTTCGAGTGAGCGGTCCGCCTTGCATCCGTAACCAATTGTTGACACCCTTTCCGAATCACAGGGGCAAGCGTGCTGTAGGCATCGAGTTTACCAATGACCCTGTGTCTTGCCCAGATGCAGACCGGTCATTGAGTACTGTGAAAGCTTCAAAGCTTGTCGTTGTCTCTGCCGGAGCATTCGGTTCCCCAGCCATTCTCGAGAGGTCTGGTATTGGTGCTGAGGCAGTGCTCAAGCGATGCGGCATTAAACCACTTGTTAGCCTGCCTGGTGTTGGAGAAAACTACACAGGTGGTATTTCATCCATATATTCGTGATCTTGGCTTACAGGTATTAGATCACGATGTTGTCTTGGCTCCGTACTTGGCTGCTGATGAGGCAGTCACTATGGATCCCCTCTGGCGTGGGGAGGAGAGTGTTATGAAAAGTGAGCACGGCCTTACTATGTCACCGATACCTTTCGAAACGACCAACTATAGATGCTCTTGCACAATGGACTAGCAGTGGCAAATCACTCATTGCTTCGAAGTCAGTCAACTTACTAGTTATCATTGTCGGTACATGCTGACTGATATGTCAGTGGTGTTGATGCGAAAATCAAGTGGCGTCCTGATGGCGACGAGCTGAAAGCCATGGGTTCAGCCTTTGAACCGCGATGGAACGAGTTCTTCCGGGATCGCCCGGATAAGTGTGTTGCAATATTTTCGCTGATTGCGGGGTACGTGTGTATTTCTTTGCTTTGATGTGAAAGCTCACGATGACTAGATACATTGGACCCCTTGTTGGTACCCTTCCTCCCCGTAATTACATGATGGCTGCCTACTTTACGGTAGTTTTCTCTCCTTTGCCTGTGGACTTTACTGAACCTTTCAACAGCTTTACCCCGCATCTGCTGGAAGCGTGCATATCAAGGTGGACGAAAACGGCAAGGAAGCACTCGATTTCACACCAGGGTTTTTGGACGAGTGAGTCCGCACATTTCATTTCAGGCCATTGTATGACTATTATTATTCATCCAGTCCATCCGATATTGTACCAATTAACTTCGCGTACAAAAAAATGCGTGAAATCTACCGGCGCATGCCTTCCTACCGAGGCGAACTCGCTCAAGCCCACCCTCAATTCCCAGAGGGAAGCGCTGCGACCTGTGGAGAAGCGTCTGGGCCAGTCGACTTAAATGCACCTGACATCGTCTACACTGCTGAAGATGATGAGGCCATTGAAAAATATCACCGTGACTGTGGTATGTGTTAACTTCGCATTTCCGTCGTTCCGGTTACTTAATGAATCGAATCATAGTGCAAACGACTTGGCACTCGGTGCGTGCAGCTAAGATAGCTTGAAATGGGAACTTGATTCTTCTGTATGCAGCTCGGTACCTGCGCCATGAAACCACAGGCGAAACAAGGGGTCGTTGACGCTCGGCTAAACGTGTACGGAGTCACGAACCTCAAGGTTGCCGACATGTCTGTTGTGCCAAAAAATGTTGGCACGGTGAGTATCTAACGAGATTAACTGACCTCTGGTCTAACCGTCTCCCCAGAACACGTATTCGACGGCGCTCCTCATTGGAGAGAAGGCTGCGATGATCATTGCTGAAGACTTGGGTATTAATTTTAATGTCTAACTCTAAACATTGTCGGCGGAAAATAGCCCAAGGACTCTACTAGGAAAAATCAAATGATTCAGTTGACAAGAATACCCTTGGACATTAGTTCCTTGATGGCTGACAGTTAGTCCTGAAAAATGCATCGAATCAACAAAGCAATACTGCAACAGGGTGGGAACCTACTGGTCTTTGACGTAGGGAGATATAGGGGCGTTCTCTTGACTCAGAGAGATCGATCGGTAAGAAATCCAATTCACCTCAACGGACCTGGTGCCTACACACACGCCTTGTGTTTGTGCCTTGGTATATTTGCTTTCGCTGATGCAACGAACTCGGTACCTAAGGACACATCCTGTGCTCCCACCAGTGCCGGATCTGCTGCGTGTCCGCGTCCACCGCGCCAGCACCGGTGACGTGCACCGGTTCCTTCGTCGGCGCTGCTGGAATAAGGACACAGGAAGATTTCCTCCGCGGTTGGCGCCTTCCCGCACCTCCTGAGTGCAAAATGAAGCTCGAAGCGCCTGAAGACACCGCCATTTCTAATACGCCACAACCACACTGCAATATTACAAAGATTTTGTTCAACACTTGTTGACCACATCCAGAATTCAGTTTGACATGGGCACGGGCTTTGACACTTTGTATAGAAGCTCATCAAAGTTCGCAGTAGTCCTTCTGCTTCAGTTCCCGACCGCACACCTTCGCCATGTCTCTTGTCCTAGTTTGCGTCCAATCGGCCGTAGGAAGGTAGACTATGTTTACGTGGGACTTGCGTTGCGACTTGACGCAGGAACACGAGAAGTAAGGCCGTTCTCTGGCGGATTCATAATAAGACGACTTAAAGTATTTAGGAACGATCGACAAAACTCCTCGTGTGACTTGAGCATCAGACTGTCCCTTTGAGAACCTTCCTTGCGCGCTTGTCATAAGTACAACCGACGTGTTCATCTCATTCAAGAACACCAGAAACTTCGACGTTTGCAAGGAGATTGGTCATTCGTTCCAAGAAGCCAGATTAATCAGAATCCACAAAGCCATGCGACAAAGCGTGAGGGAGTGGCCTGCTCAGTTAGATGTAGAGTTGCTCACGAGAACTCGCCTGGTCGCTTCTAGAGAAAACAGTAAGAAGCAGATACCTCCGCACCTAGCGGAATACCCGATCAATCCGAAGGACATTCGAAGATATCATCGAAGAGAACAAGTGGCGTCCAAAAGTTTTTCTTCACAGAAGACTGGGAGGCGCTCACGAAGCACCTCGAGATCAATGGAACTTAGGAATGCAGTATTGGGGTCCAGTTACTAGAAAAGACGATTATGTAATCCAGGCCGTGCTAGCAAAGATGCGGATACATTCCTTCTTATCTTTGTACATCATCCTAGATGTCCATGTATTTGAATTTTGACGCCTCGTTTTCCCCTATCATTTTACAGTCACACCGGCAGGTCACGAGTACAAACTTTTCACCAAACATCGTCGTATTCACTCATTTTATCTATTGAGCCGCTCACGAGCATGTCATGTGCCCTCGTATTAACCAACAAAATTACACTCGGTGTTTTTCCCGCTCCAAGCACATCCGAAAGTCTCGAGCAAAGTCTCGGTCCTTATCGCTCGTCATTAGTCACTTTTTGTGTGTTTACCACCTGTCTACATCGTCTCGATCTCTATTGCCCGTCGAATTCATACTCCGCCTTACAATGCCGTCGATGTCAGTGGGAAAGTCGAACTCGAAGACTGGATACTAGCTCTAAGAGGTCCGTTCACAGTTCATGATATCATCCCACGAACAGCTGAAGGCATTCGCCGATGGTACACAATTTGTCCTTTTTATTTTCTATTAAAATTTCAACACTGACGCTATTGTTACGATACTGAGAGCAAATTGACGTACACCACGTATCTTCGTTCCTCTTGTGTTTTGGTATGCTGTTCATTTTCATTTGTTTAACAGTTTTTGATACGCTAGTGATGGGGAGCGTAAAAGGGCACGCACACACATTTAAATTTTGGCCAATTCGAGGCATTTTACAACTAATCACTACCAGCGAGGCTCAAAGTCTAGATGGTACCCACAAACATGAATTATATTTGTTGATACCATCTGGACAGTGGACATTGGCCTACAAACATCACACGGAGGATATCAATCGTCAATCGCTGTGATGCCAATCTTGCTAAGTACCTGGTCGTAGACATCATTCGTGTCGAACATGTATCACGACACATTCACCGGGGGCCAGCGGCGTTCTCCGCAGACGTTGTCCAAGAAATGTATGGGATCAAGAATGCAATATACACCTTGTAAACCATCCTTGACCGATGGGATGGTGGTAAGTTCAATTTTTTTTACAGATTGCAACCCTCTTCACTTATGACATGTCTCTTCCGCAAATGGTTTATCGATGTTACACCGGTTGGCAATCCGTCTGGGTTATGATCGTACCGAGTTTCAATTGTGATGTGGTGTCACATGTTAGGTCCATTCAGTCTACAGTGTTTCACAAGCGACTAGCGAAGCCGGAAATATATTCTCCAAAGCAACTGACACTTGCAACTATCGACCGACGGTCGGTGGAGGAACCAGTGCGACAACACCAGGGAACTTGCGGCGATATCCTCCGAGGTTTTTGCAGGTGCATGTATCCCAGCTCGCGTACAACGATGATACTTCGTCATACAGAACAAGGAGTCAGGACAAACCATCAACAAAAGTGGTGAAGGGGGAATCATACCCCGTGTAATCAGTACTATGTTTTCTCACTGTTCAGAAAGAGAATGTGTATGTTTGCATTTTCAATTATTGGAAATGAGAACGTTTCACTTACTAGGCGAGCATGGTTGAATGTCTATGCATGTGTTCGCTCCGGTTTTTGCCAGGTTGCCTTGCACTATCTAATGGAATCAACTGCATACCATTTCAGCAGAAATTCCTCTTGAACTTTCAGCATGAGCGCACGATCCTATGAATTTAATTGGAATAACTATCCACAGTGAACAGGAAGCATACCAAGGGCTCACGACATGCAGCTGTTCGGTACAACTCAATTGAACGAAGTCGATCACAGTCCCACGTTCTCGAAGCAAAGCGAAGCTACCTTGAGTTACTTCACTTCGACAGCAACACTGTCAACGACAGTATAAGCTATTACTTGGTGGGCCTCATGAACCAACAAAGACCGTCATATGTGAATTCTCATACAAAGTAAAGCCAACGAGCCCATCATTAGTGTTAATGATTGAAGAACAAACAGTAGCACCGGTCCGTCAGGCCTTCGGGGTCAGGTGTTCACAATTAAAATGAACAAACCCACAATGATAGGAAGACGAACAGTAGCACGACATCTTCAACACATACTTTCATCCGCCATCATCTCCTTCAACCTTGCAACTTCGATCCGTGGAATGGCATCAACTTCAAATGGCGCCGGACGTGAAACAACAGTGTCACTAGCCCGCGTGTTGATCGGGGCGTCAGGTCGTTGATCAAATCGGAAAGACCAGAAGAGAAGTGCCAAGGCGATGTACATTGAATTCTCTGCGAGATGCCTGCCGGGACACACCCTTTCGAAGACAAGTGAACTTTGTTAATCCCGACAAAAACTGTTGGAAATACTTACCGTCTACCAAAGCCAAAGGTGAAAGACTTCATACCGTCCTTAAGGCGGCCTTCGGAATCAAGCCAGCGTTGAGGATCAAATTTTTCAGGATCTGGAAAGGCAATTGGATCGCGACAGATCGCCCTGGAAAATTCAATTAATGAACGGACACAGCAGGAGGAAATAAGATCTTACCAATGGCATCCGTAGACTGTTGCACCCTCAGGAATACGATATCCTTGCTGGTTGCATGCATAATTATGTAAATATAATCAGATTGTGACATCAATCCAAGACACCGACCCAAATAATATCCCGAGTTGCGTGGTGGGGAAATCCTGAGGAACATGTCAGCGTGCAGGGCGTAGTGAGCCCATGGCTTACCTATGGGGATGACAGGTCTCCATCTCAAAGCTTCCCACAGGAACGCGTACAATTGAGGAAGCGAGCTCGAGTCTTTAAATGTTGGTGCTATCACCGAAAATTAGTCGAGAAGGCAAAAATGTTCTTTTTAGCCTTGCCTCTGTCTGATCCGATGACCATATCGAGCTCTTCATGCACCTTTGCCTGAGCCAGTGGGTGACACGCCGCAGCCATAATAGCAGTGGTAATTCCCGCGGAGGTCTGAACCAAGCCTATCAGTAAATTTACGGAGATGAGATATGATGCATCACTTGCTGTTTCAGCACCTGCACCAAAGAGTGTTCCAGCGAGATAGGCCATCTCATCTGTTACGAGTTGGTGATCTTTAGTGTGTTCCAATAGTGTCTTGGTGAAAGAGGGACCCGCTTTGTTTTGTTCCTAAGTACATGGAAAATACAAATGAGGTACGTTCATCAAAAGAAAGATCCTCACTATTTCGCTCTTGACGCGTCCTAACTGATGACTGTATAAACTCAGTTCTTCATTATGCCACTCAGTAAGTTGCTTTCCGTAACCAGGCAAGTAGCGCAAAAGAGGCACACGGTCGACGAGATAAGCTCCTGGACGCATCACAATGTCAAAATGATCGAGGACTTTGTAGATACGGATAACTTCGGGATCGTTGTAGGCAGTTGGTGTAGACTTCCCATAAGTCACCCGAAGAATGACTGATGCTGAGTACCTTCAAGTTGAGGTAGCATATCTGTGCAAGGATCACAAAAGGACCTGGTAAGGACATACCGTGATGCGTGCTTCTGGTGGTTCTTAGGGTCATTCATAATGTCCAATATAAATTTCCTTGCGTTATCGTGCTGCATATCTTTGTATACCTCTGCCGCCTTGGGCTGGAGGTGGGTATGAACCGCTTTGCGGAGACGCCGGAAGCGCTCTCCGGAACGAGCCATAACAATACGCATCCCATTTGAGAGCATCTCTCCCGCAGCAATAGACGGAGGACGATCTACCAGGGATCTACCTTCAGCCTCCATGATGGTTGTGGCTGCCTGGCGGATGGGTCAACATTTGAGCAAACCCGAGTATAGACAGATTTTACCTCGACACTGCCAATGACAACGATCACTTTACTGCCTTGTCGGAACGATACCACAGGCCCATACTCCCGAACAAGGTCAGTCAGTGCACGAGCAATACTGAGTGGGCGGTTTACATCAGTTTCGCATATCAAGGATGACATTTCCAAAACCCACTTGACAGAAGGCAAAGCGTTACTCCAGAACCAACGGGCGGGAGGTCCAGGTGGAAACGGAATGGTATTCTTACCATTCGCTAACGAGGATTTCTTGTGCAACACAACAAGCACTGCTATGGATGCAACAAGACCAGCAGCATAGTCGGCCGTGATGAGGGATCCTAGCATCATGATGTCAAGTGGGCTGGAATGAGAATCAATTCAGTACGTCTTATAACAGCTGCTGGTCAGCCGACCCCGAGATGTACTAGTATCGTTATGTACCGATGCGCAGTAAGAACGATAACTGAGGGGATCTCATCGATGCGAGTAGAATCACTATTAGTCAAGATCCACGACACGGTCCGGGTGCCACGGTAATGACAAATGGGGTCTGTGTACAGTGTTTTTAGTCTGGGCAGAATCCGGCAGAATGTCAAACTACAGGGGATCGCAACCAAAGGTTTTATAATCGACTGCACTTCCTTACCTGTAGAGTAGTAGTATTACAGCCTGTTCGTTGATGACTTCAAAGCATATAACCTGTGCCGCGCACCATTTTCAGGTGGACAAGCTTACGGATTGGCATGGTGGGAAAGCCTCGCAGTCAGTGCCGACAGACATCCTTTGAAGGCACTAGCAATCACCCTCTTATCTATTGTTCCCCATGCTGCTGACGTTGAACGCCTCTTCTCGGATATGGGTAGCACTCAGTCTCCGAAGCGCTGCAATCTCACAGTAGAAACAAATATTTGAAGCACTGGCAAAGACTCGAGCAAATCTTCGTTGCCACAGTCACCAGAAGGCCGTGGCTAATGGCAGGTCAGAGCGCACTTTGTCCGTCTCGGTGTTTTAGATGCGGCACCTGCACAGGCTGCGAGCTGGCTGTTGTCCTGGGGAATGTTAAGCGTACGGGTAATGACATTCTTTAGCGGCTCGGCTCGCACCGAATTTCGGAGTCCGATTCTCCCGTTGTTGCCGTACGAGAACTGAAAACAGGACATCCCTAAAAGAAAGTTATTGTCACTCGAACTTGGATTCCAGCTCATCATGCTCGCTCGCACCACCTCAACCACGAACTTCTTGGCTATTCGTACTAACAGACCATATCTACCTGTCACGTCAGCTTCCAACGGACACCGTGTCTTATCAGTTTGTAGGTATAAAAATATATGAATTCTCTCCCAAAATACTCTCTGATAAACTTGTCAACTTGAGAGCTGGTGCACGTCGGTCACAGGCCATGCCTCGGTGATATAATGGGCCTCTCGTAGTACGTACACCCCCGGGCTCAGCCATCATTTGTTCCGCCATGGATTCAACAGGATTGTCAATGGATACAACAACTATAATTTCAGCAGTGCTGGAAGGAATCTTATATGGTGCGTATCGTGACGATCAGCCATTCCATATCCACCAAGCCAAGATTCTTCAGGCTTTTTAGTCCTCATGTTTATTGGTACCATATGGGCATCAACCTACAAACAGAATGTCAATCGCTCAATTATTTTGGTGGCAATCCTGCTGTTCATACTAAGCACCGCAGTGAGTTTCTGGGCTCTTGTATCCGATGTCATCGGCTCAATTCTCTCTCAAGCACATCATCGTAGACATCATTCGTCTTGAAAATGGATTTATCAAGTATCGCGATACTTTCCCTGGTGGACCAGCAGCGTTCTTCCAAGATATCAGCCAGCCAACGTTTTTCGCTAAGAATATGATATACGCCTTTCAAACTATGCTTGGCGATGGTGTGCTGGTGCGTTCAAATTTATTTGCTAAATGGAAACCTCTGAGCTTAAAGAATGCCTTCTCTGGTAAAAGATTTATCGCTGTTACGTGGTTTGGCAATCCATCGGGATTATCATTATACCAAGCCTGCTGTGGTGCACCTGCTCAGGTAGGTCGCTATCGTGCTCAGGGAATCACGCGTTCTGATTGTGCATTGAAGCGACTACTTTCATTGCGAATTACTACGCTTTGCAGGCGAATGGTGGAAATGTCTTCATCGATCAGACTAGAGCATGGGTTGTTGCCATGGTTGCCTTGACACTTGCAACAAATCTGATGTCGTCGGGTAAGCATAATCGTGTGTGAATGCAATACTGAGGTCCTTAACAACCTGAATTCGTCCAGGATTACTTGCATATCGTATCTGGATGATGGAGCGCAAAGTCTCTGCAATGCGTGCTGCGAGCGACACTTTGATGCCTATTGTGCGTGTGCTTGTGGACGCCGCTATCATGTATTCTGGGATGCTCCTTGTCATGCTAATCTGTTTCGTCTCCGACAACAATGCCCAATTTATTATACAAGACATGGTAATTATCACTGTCGATGCCTGTTGTTAAATCTTACTGAACCTCGACAAGATGATGCCTATTATCCCGATCGCATTCTACATGGTTTTTGTTCGCATCACATTCAGGAACATCACTCGCAGTTACCTATCGACGGTTCATAGTGCAGGGAACAATGACGGGGAGAGCACCTTGGAGCAACATCCTGCGCAGCCTCTGCAATTCATATACCCCGATGGACGCGTACAGACGGTATCTTGAACGGAGTAGGGAATCACCACCGAACATTGACATGCAAGGCGGAGTTTAAGGGGCGTCTAGTGACGTCTAAAAAGGCAAAGAGGGGTACTTGGTCAAATTCCAACATTCAAAGAGACAGGTTACGTCCAGCGTATCAGGTAGCTAAGCCCCACTCAAATATGATTGTATTTCGCCCAAGGTCTACCAGTCTATCCCAACGGTTATCTACACCTGTTACCTTCAAGTTACTTGCAAGGTCATATACTATGTATTTAATACACAACGGACCTTTGATACTGTCATGGCCTCCCTGAAAGCTGACCCTTGGGGTCGATCGCACGTAGAGTCCGGACATACATGCAAGTGTCAACAAGTTTAATACCAGTACTTGGCAGCGAAGAGGCTCTCGCGACACAGCCACCTCCGCACTTCGTTGAAGTTTAATGGCAAGTGACAGTCACAAGTTACAACTAAGACGTGTGTATTCAGTTCCAAAGTGATAATAAACATGATTTGTTTGCGAAGAATTGTATCCCCGATACCAGGCCATGACAAGCATAAGGTGTAACTTTGTTCCTGCTTATAATGTATATCTGAAGTCAGGCGCACGGTCTCCCAATTCCCGCAATTCCTGCTCAGAATATTGCATTTTCTCTCCCCGTTCCGTTGCGAGGCGTTCGGCAGCGTCGCGTTGGGCATTAATCCTCTTATAAATGAGCACCACAATTGGCAAAAAGATGAATCCAATCCCGACGAACATGAGTTCCAATCCATCTAGTAAAAACAATTAGCCAGCACAAGCCATGTCAACGAAATTAAACTTACGCCCCAAAATGAAACGAGGTGAGTCTTGCGATCTATAGATGACGGCTGCAACTGCACCGCTGAAGTTTCCAATGCACATTTGGAGGGGCATGCCAACACCTCTCTTGTACTGGCCGGAAAGATTGTTTCCGAGCCTTAGTTATCATATGTTAGCCTTAGCCACGACGCGACTGATAATGACATACCAAGAAATGATTCCAGGAACTGCTGCATAGCTTCCCATGACAATAAAGAAAGTTCCAAAATACTTGACACCACTGGGTGCGGTTGATATGTTTATCGAAAAGCCGATGAGACACATTGTAAGGCCGGCAAGAATGAAAGGGGATCGTATTTTCAACTTGTCCGAGTAGTGTGCAAAAGCTAGCAATGTGAAAGCTAAATGGAACAGGTTACTGCGTGAGATTGCAGATGGGTAAGAAAACTGACTTGCGGCGATATATGGTGGCACGGTGAGCAACTGGCTAACTGGCGTGCTATATCCAAAGCTGAATGCAATTGAATAAATAGATCATAATCAACTTGTCACGGCAGACCTATTGATGATCGTTCTGGCGCAAATAGGTCAACATCATCTTCAAGTATCTAACGACCGACTTACGGGAGAAACAGGGTGATGCCATACACTGAGAGTAATCAAATCAGCTTCTGTCGTCGCTGAACGGCAAAGGTGTATCACTTACAAGGCCCAACGATTGATACATAAACGGGGATATGAAGCCAGACCTGGCGAGTTGGTTGAGCCACGAAAATGACAAAGCTCAAAACAATCAGTATCTCACCTGCCAGTCTCTGAACGCGGCCCAGACGTGCCTGGCGGCAAACTTCTCTTCCTCTCCAACTGATGAATTGTCGTATTCTGAAAAAAATCTAAATCGTATCTGCCCTCTCATAATCTGTTACTCCGCTCACTTTTCCTCCACACAACAAAAGCGCGCTCTTCCGGGGTCAAGAACTTAGCCGTGTCCGGAAGGTCGACCAGCACTGAGCGATCATATATATGTCAGCCCCCTGTGCGATCGAACGCGTGTTGCACTCGCCAAAGAAAGCAATGATAGCTACAACTATCGTTGCAAGGCCCTCAAGCATCTGCATGTAAGTTTTGAGCATCATTTCTGACATTGACCATAAACGAACTCACGAAGATCCAAGACCATGCTTCGAGTCCATCCATGCCACCCATGTAACTAATTCCAAAGGCTAGTAAACCAGAGAAAGCACCTGTAGTTTGTTTCATAATTAAATCCCAATGATGTAAGGAGACAACAAACCTGCAACTGTTGCAGCGCCGAAAAACAAGCCAACTATCGGAGCACTTCATTATCCCAAACGGACAACCAAATACAAGATACTTACTTCGATATTGTAACATGTGTCTCGGATACCACAAAGTAAGGCTATAGATCCATCAGCAATCCCGCAGGAGTCCTTTACTTATACTTACTAATAAACCACACCAGGGAACAAACCTGCCTCAGCGATACCAAGACAGACTCGCACCCCAAGAAGCTGAGGGTACCTGACATGTAATCAATGTCAAGTCAAAAAATTGGCGAAATTTGCCCAATCGTACGTCTTCACGAAAGCCATGAGTGTCCTGGCGATAGGCTTCCTCAGCAATTTTAGAGCGTAGTAAGACTGAGTGACGCACATAACTACCCCCCATACAAACTGTTGAGCGTAAGATAAATTCAGCTCCCATCATGCAGGACTTACATTGATCCCTGGAAGCCATCTCAAAATACGAAGAGAGTCAGTCATGCAGTACTCAAAAGTTAACACAAATACTTGCCTAGATGGCCTGAACACTTTAAGAACCAGGCTTGAGATTGCAGTTAGAGCGCAAATAACCAACACATTGAGTCCCAAACGAACTTAGCGGGACATTCAAATAGGCAGTATGGCTTTGCGGTTTACTTCAGAAAAATCCGACGCCTGTCAGAATAACGATACTCACTATGACAAACAATACCTGCATCCAACTGTAAGATTGGCAATATTGTGAACAAAAAACCACACATTACGTACCAATGTAATGTTGAACCTGTTTCCCGTGAGATCCAGCTGAGTGACAATCCCCTCCAACTTTGCGTTACCGATGTTACCTGTTGAAAGGTAAGAAATATATCGATATCACCTGTCGCGATCACTGCGGACCTCTGTCAATGAAGGCCAAAAGATACATCAAACTGAGGATAGGCACTATCCGCAGATCAATCTTTCTCCATAGTTTCTTCTCCTGTTCTGGCGTCAACACTGGGATATTTTTGAGATTAAAAACCGAGTCCTCCGGTCGCTCCTCGTCACACTGGTTGTGTTCGGAACTGATGGGATTCATGTGATCAGCGGGAACAGTGTTCACAACGTAAGTCATGGCAAAATAGCGACGAGAAGAAGGGAAGCTCTTAATCCTTCCTGATGCTTAATTTTATATTTGTACTCTGAAGAAATGAAGAGGCTCACCTCAGTCTTAGTTGGAAGGCCTGAGGAGAAGGAATAATATTATGGACGCTGAATAATAAAGGATCGTTGAAACGGAGAACGAAACGTGAACGTGGATGATAAGATGTAAAGTAGGTACGAAGGATATGTACCCTTGACTGAATCCTAGATTGGCAAACTTGATTGTGTGCCAGCTGTCCCTGCGATAGACGGATCAGCCTGTAATAATATAAAAAAAAGGCTCCACGGGCGCACTTGAAAACAATTAGTTGTACCTTTCGACGGACTATTACCACGTCACCATCAATGAAATACACGACACGAGAGAAGACGCCAGCTGCGTGAACCTACTAGAATTCGAAATCCAGAATTTACATCCGAGCTTACACAGAACTTTATCTAAGGTTCGGTGATGTCCGTCAACAGCAAGCTTTCAAGACCAGTCCCGTGGGTTCCATTAACCGCCATTGAATCAATACATGGGTCTGGCTGTCGCATCTGCACTATGCACCCCTAATCGTCAGTAAATGGATTAACCATCGAACGTTATTATACCAACGTACGCTTTCGTGCTCGGACCCTGCATGCCAATTCGCCTGTTCATCAGATCAGTAGGACGAGTGAGGATTCATTTTCACGGTTTCCGGCTTTCCTGTCAGCAGGCAAGAATGGAAGATGGTTCTGGAAGGTGATACTTGTAACTTGGCTTCACATGTCAATCACGCCTCTTGGAGTTGATACATGCAGTACTGATACATGCGAGGACAGAGAATGTGCGTGGTCGCATATAGGCTGACCTTCGTGATCCACATATCCACATAAAGGATCAAGTTACCCAGAGTTCGTTCCCTACTGTCACAATGATCTCCGCAAACGAAGCCGAGATAAAAGTTAACGTTGTGCCATCTCAGGCTGATGGACCCATACGACTCGAGGAGACATTCTTTAAGAAAATATTGCAAGCATTAAGATCCAAAAGTTGGAAAGCGAGAGTGATGATGCGGCCAGCTCAACCAGTGATCAGCTTTTGACCCAAATGCGGCGCTATGGTTGAGGTACAATTTGGGATCCAGCATTGGCATATTAAAGAGGTCGATACATTCCAGGCAACGCCGGAAAACGTAATGATTCTCAAGCTCGGTTCAATCCACATGTGTCCCAGGACAGCCGGAATCAAAGAGAATGCATTCAGAGGCATAAGAAAGCTTGGCGTACCATCCTGTATTTGTATCTTGATTTGTGTATGTATCTGTAGTGACCAAAATAAAATGGGAGAAAAATGACTCGGTCCGCATGGTCACAAGTCGGCAATGCCGACCCCTAGTGACAATGACTTTGTCACTAATAGTTTTTTGCTAGGAGAAGGTGGTATATATTGGAAATGGAGTTAAAAACTATCAAAGATGTCATGGCTGAGTCACTGCGTTTTGGGTTGATGTGGATGCCATGTGGGTAGATCCCTATAGATAGACTATCCCGATGTGCACGGTGGCCATGTGTATCATTAGAAACCAGCGTGCTACACAACTCAGACAATGCCACCTCACCGAAGGTGTATCACACACCGCTCATCCCTCCTTTTTCTGTTCCGGTGTAGCTTTGGACACACACGTCCATGTCTGCTCACCTTCAGTGAACAACCTGGGCAACTCTTGGGAAATTTTGCGTAGCTATTGCCCTTGTCCAGCAAAGGCAAGAACATGTACTCATAGGTAGACCTGCATCAATATACTCACGTTGGCCGCCTCATTGCCCTAAAAAAATCCTAAGTCCATTGTGCTGTGTTGTTAAGGGTTTGTTCTCCCATCAACAAGGCACTTTTGCAACATCCAGCAAACATCCAGCGCTGAGATCTCATGCATCATACTGAAAGGTTCAAAACCAAGCAAAGGTGTGCAGAAGGCAAAGAAAGTGGGTTTTCATTCGCATGCATAGTCATAATCATGTCTAATCAAGTCTCTGCATGATAGGACACTCACAAGCATCAAATATATTGTGTCTGTGCACCCTGTATAAAAGAGTGCGGGAAACAGGGCAAGAAGCTACCTGCATGGTTAGAGAGAAAACACTGCAAGATGGGCATCAAGAGAGTGCAGTGTGATGATGATGATGACAATGATGACAACAAGTTGGTTTCATTTGAGGAGATAGCAGCTGCTTGCAGGAAAGCAAAGGATCCAGGAAATGCAGCTTGCTCGATGGCTGTTATGAAACTTCCTGCAGGTATGTGCTATCAGTTTTTGCATGTGTGGAGAGATTGACTTGCCCTTTAAGCTGAAGATCTGTCCTATCATAGCCCACATCACTCCATGCAACCCCTTGAGCATTCCTCTGATGCAGACAATGACTCTGTCCTACTTGAACAATCTCTCACTGATTTTCCTATGGGCGAGGAATTCCCGGCACACTTGGACATCAATGTTGTTGATTTCATGAATGATTCTGTGGAAGAACAGAGGGCCAATGCTGACCACAACAACAAGATGTCCCATTCACTACCTTCTCAGAAACCTGGTTGGAGCCTGAACCAATTACTTGACTAAAATTTGGCCACTCTCCTCCGACATGCCAGCCTCAAAGATCCTCTAACTGGCACAGAATCATCTGACAAGCAACCTGAAGTCCCTCCATCTTCTGTCCAGGTACCTGATGTGCAGCCAGCATTGCCAGTGCCAGTGAATGAGTTGCTGGAGCCTCTGCTTCCCCCTGATGTCATCCTCAACAGTGCTTCACAGCACTGGTTTTGGAAAATCATACTTATTTTGGTGGTGTGGCTTAATCTATGCTATCATTTACCTCACCGTGCAGCTAACCTTCTTCTGAAGGTCACAGTGTCTATTTTCTATGGACTTGGTGTTTTCACTCTTGAAGAGAAGCCAGCTCAGACACTGAATACTGCTTTTGCTCATTTGGCAACTACCCACTCATCTGTGGTGTGTTTCCATGTCCTCTAGACTCCCTCATCTCTTAAACTCTCTGTTGGGTAGCTATCAACCATGTAACTTGATTTTATACGGCATTTCCCCAGGTCCCAAGGAGCTTGATTCCAATCAGCTCCAATTTTTCATGAAGGATTATGTTGATGATCTATTGCGGCTTTATGACAAGGGAATCATCATCAAGACTTCAAAATATCCAGAAGGTCAGTTGTGATTTTATGTATGTCCCTGGCATAATATTAATGACCTACTTTTCAGGGCAACATGTACATGTAATTCCTGTTGCAGTATGCTGCAATCATCCAGTGATGTGCAAGGTCTGGATTTGGTAATCATAGTAAAAAAGAAGGATTCTGCTCGCATTGTCACATTCCACAGTTGAAGCTGAAAACAGAAGATGCAATGGAGTATGATAGTAAGTTGTTTCATGCTTGTCGCCATTGACATGCCAGTTTAACATTACCTTGTAGAATTTCCATGTCAAGATGGACAGCAGCATTGAAAGCATGCTGAAGAATATAATGGCCTTGGACCCAAGTGTCATATCCCATATGCCAGATACAGATCCCATCATATTCCCACGCTTTCCAGACCTATTTCTGGACCCGTATCCAACTCATTCCTGGATCCCCTATCCTGTCCACCCTACACACATTCCGTCCAGCAAGACATCTGGACTTTACCTCCTCTCGGATTCCAGACTACATCCACCACCTCACATATCTCAGTCCTGTTTCCACCCTGCCTTCTGGATCCCCAGATCCCTGGACCTCCAGATATTAACTGTTACTATCTCCGGACCTATTCCCGCCCTCTATCCGAGATCCTGTGCCTATCCCCATTTAGGCATCTCTGCCTTTCCGGTTCTCGGTTATCTCTGTTTCTGTCTTGCTGATTGATCCTTGTACTAGTTTCATCTCCGAGTTCATTTAGTTATGTTCTGTCTTACTTACCAATGTGTTTCCGCATGCTCGTACATAGCCTTACTCCTTTGCTTACTGATCCTCTCAGATAGCCTTTAGTATATAACCCCTGTACAACTACAGTAGAGTCCTCAGTCTGAATATCATCTTAGATCCTGTTCTACTTGCCAATCATCTTCCAGACTTCAGTCCATCTGAGTTTGTCCTTTTCCATAAGGCCTAGGGATGGATTCCCTAGGCTGGAATTCCAGACCTTTGGATTTGTCCCCTATGTCTCTGTCCCAAGTCTAGGGATTGCTTCCCTAGGCTGGAGTCTTGCCTTTCTGGCACTTACCCTCTTTCCGGACTTAGGTCCATTTCCTGTCCCTCCGACTCTACCTTAGGGTAGTCTACCTCTGTTTGCTTCTACATTGGACTTCATCCAATGTAGCCCCTATTCCTTCTGGACCTCCGGATGTCCTGTCTTCTGTACCTCTGGGCATCCTGTCCTTTGGACATTCCGCCCTCCATACCTTTGGATGTTCTGTCCTCCATACCTCTGGACCTCCGGACATCCTATCCTTCCATCCTGTTTTCCTGTAGAAGTATTACCTTGCAGCAGGAACTCTCCCGCACTCTTCCGGATGTTTCCCACACTCCTCTGGAAGTCCTCCAGACTTCGTTGGACCATCATCAGACTTCCTCTGAAATGAAGGGCACATACTTGGGTAAGGGGCACAGTGTACAAGCTGAGGCCAAGCCCCTCTAAGTCAGTCTCTCTCTCCTTTGAGCATGGTTCTTAACACCAAGGAGCAAGATGACTTTTTTACAAAGCATAGCGCATGGTGGTTTGAGCTTGCTTGCCTGCCATATTTTGATCCTGTCTGAATGACTGTCATTGATCCTATGCATTGTTTTTTACTTGGTGAGTTGATTGCAACCTTTCACAAGGCTTACTTATATCACCAGGTATCATCAAAACTCAATGGTTCAATGCATGGGTTCAAACAAATGTGCTGCATCAGCAGATGGCCAAGGTTGAATGTGAACTCAATGAAATTCATCGACTCTTATCTATGGTATGTGCATGCTTCCTTGGACTTATATGAGAGCTAACTTATATTGTCAGTTTGAGATGCCATCTTGGGTTGCACAACTACCAGATCAAGTTGGGTATCCAGCAGGAGGGTCTCTCACATCTGACAAGTGGAAAGGCTTGGCACTCGTCTTTTGTCCTATCATCATAAGTTGTTGTTGTGTCTGTCCCTTCTTACATACTAACACATTATCAAAGATCCCATTGGTCTGGGAAAAATGGTATCCAATTAATATGAAGCAAAATCAGAAGGAGATAGAGAACTGGGAGAAGTGGGAGCAGGCGTGCATATGAAGAGTTGCATCAGGCAAACAAGTGCAGAATGGAAAGGATAACGAACCTCCCACTCATCCGAAGGATATGGCAATGCATGCTGATGATGCTGACAATTTCTTGAATCTTGCAGCAGCATTGAAGATCATTCTAGGATGGAGCATCAGTGATGCTGATATCCCCCAAGCAAAGGAGCTTCTTAATAAGTATCTTCTCAGGTTCTTAGAGGTAAGTCATGGCAGTTCTCTTGCTCAATACCAGATGAGTATTCTAATCTTGTACAAACTTTAGGTTCATCTGAAGCATGTCAAACCTTCTCACCACTGGGTGACACACATCTTTGAACAGCTGGAAAATTATGATCCCGTTTACAGCTTCTGGACATTTCTTTTTGAGCACCTTAACAAAGTTCTCAAGAGTTATTCAACAAATACAGTGGCTCAAAAAACTGTCCACATGTTTTGATATTTTCACTATCTATGATATTGTATGAGAACTCACAAATGCCTCAAGGACATGCTTATACCACATTGTAGTATGGCTTCAGGGCTTTCATTTGAGCCCTACACCGTGGGAATCGGTGGAGATATGGTGGAGATACAAGGCTCACAAAATGGTGACTCATGCGGACAGTTTTTTGACTCAAGTATTTTACAATAATAACCAGGTATTCTAGTATTTTGTATGACCTTGGCTTTAATTACTGCCTCTATCCTTCTAGGCATACTCTCAATTAATTTCTGGCAATTCTCAGCTGTGATCTTCCCCCATTCCACTGCTACTCTCTCCCAAAGCTCCCATACTCCTTTAGGGGGGTTTTCATAGGCTTGAAGCTTTTTCTTGAGTGTTCCCCAGAGATGTTCAATGACATTGACATCAGGAGACTGTGCTGGCCAGTCAAGAACATTGATGTTATGTTCTTCAAACCATTCCTTAGCTCTTCTGGATGTGTGCTTGGGATCATTATCCTGTTGGAAAATGATATCTTCTTCATCAATCCCTGATTCTGCCAAGCTAGGCAGCAAGTGGTCATTTAAAATGTCCTACATACTGCTCAGCATTCATCTTCCCCTCAACCTCAGCAAGCATTCCCACACCATTCCATCCCATACAGCCCCATACCATTAAAGAACCTCCTCCAAACTTGACAGTCCCATTAACCTCTCTGTCTGTTAGGCCATCTCCCTTCTTTTTCCATACATATACCTTCCCATCTGACCCAATCCTATTGATTTTAGTCTCATCTGACCATATAACATGCTTCCAGTCCTCTACAGTCTAGTGTTGATGAGCTAAGGCAAAGGCTAGTCTTCTCTGCCTATGTTTGATGGAGAGAAGAGGCTTTTCTTCTTTGTTACTGCCTTAAGATGAGCTGCCTTGAGAACATTCCTCACAGTTTGTGAAGAGACAGGGGTAGTGATGGTGGAATTGATATAATGGGTGGCTTGGACAGCATTATCAGCCCTTCCTGTAGTGATATGTTGGATAATAGCCCTTTTGTTAGTAGAGGTAAGCTTGGATGGACATCCTCCACAAGAGTTTTCCTTGTCTGGGTGGCTTTCTTTGATAAACTTGGCCACAGTGGACTTACATACTCCAGTTCTAGAGGAAATTTGGCAAGCAGAGAGGCCAGCATAAGACAGAGAGAGGATATTATCTCTTTGAGCAGAGGAGATGGCTTTCATGGTGATTATGACTATGATACATGAGATATTCTGGTTCATATAGTTAGATATAGTCATAAAATAACATAATGACACCACTTCATAATTTATATAATAGTGGCATGATTTTTGTGGTGTCATAAATAATGATTTATATAGTTTTAATATACACTCAAAAAACTGTCTACATGAGTCACCATTTTGTGAGCCTTGTATCTCCACCATATCTCCACCGATTCCCACAGGTGTAGGGCTCAAATGAAAGCCCTGAAGCCATACTACAATGTGGTATAACCATGTCCTTGAGGCATTTGTTTGTTCTCACACAATATCATAGATAGTGAAAAATGTCAAAACATGCAGACAGTTTTTTGAGCCACTGTAATCATGGTGATGGTGAGATTGAAATTTCATTTTTTCATGCATTTACTTGTGACATGGAACTTCAAACTATGGTAATATCATTTTTGTTTTTGTTTATGAATACTCTACACTCAACTGTGATGTCCAACAGATGACAAACTTACTTGCTCGAAATGCTGGATCCAATGAGCCTCCATCAGCCAAAGATTCATTTCTCTTTGATGCTGTCAAAGCCATTCTAACTACTGATAGTGATACTTGTGGAACTGTAGTGTCACTTACAAGTGAAATTGATGATGTTGCCCAGCAAGGTCCATGTTCCCTAACCCTTCAAGCTATCCTGATGTAGTTCTTTGACCCAGCTGGCACTTGTTTTTCATTGAGTCCTGCATCATTGTCATCACTGGACCTTGAACAGCAAAAATACCTCCTTCGCTACTACCAGATGACTCATCCACATGTGAACATTGTCAGTGTCATGTCATATTCACTGTCCACTCCAAATTTTCTTCAGTCACATGCACAATTCCATGACTACATGATCCTTGATGAACATTAGCATCACATCCTCCCATTCCCAGACACATGCACCAAACTCAATTGTTCAAGTCAACATCAATCAGAAGTGTTACATTGGCCAGGTTCACACCATCATTTCCCACTGGCAAATTGGTGTTGAGCTGGATCTTTGTCTGCTCAAAGTCCATTGGTTTGAAGAGGCTCAAGACCTTGAATGTCGACACTGGATTCGATAGTAACATCTGTTTTTTGTTATGTTTTGCCTCTGCACTGATTAACATCAGTCCTGAATTAGAGATTTACTTCTGGAAATTTGACCACTTCTTGGACAGCATGAAGGATGGGCCCTCACGCTTTATCCATGTCATTTGAAGGTCATGTGTCATGTTGAGGATCTGCAGACAAGAGATCACATAGTGAAACCATTTTGGGCAACAATTGGGTTGAGCCAAGTATGTCTGCAAGCAACATCAACTGGCAACTTAATTGACACAGGATGATTTAGGATGTACAGGTGGTGTAGGATCAATAATTCAGCAACAAGAAGAATACAAAGGTGAACCTGTGGATATCTAGAGCCATGCATCCTCAGCAGTTTCATCTTCCCCATCAGTGCCATCACCATTCACATCCATCATGTCTGTGGTTTTTGCTCCTTGGTCATCAGCCATCTCATTTGGCTCATCTACTAGGCCAAACCCAATGGGATCTTTCTTGAGTACAACTACTTTCATGCCAGGGTTATCATTAACATAGGCCTTGTACCAGTTCGTGTTGAGCATGAAAGGGAAGATGGGCTGCTGAGGGGGTGCTGTATTCTTGTTGTTGAGGTTGATGCATCTGGTACAAGTCACTTTGTTTCCTGCTTTCTTCCACTGCTTGGCCTGTATCTGATCAAGTTTGTCCATGACAGAGTTAAACTATAAATTGTTCAGTTAGCTCAAGTTTGACTGGCAGCACTCATTTGTTCAGATGAACCTCTTGTGATCAGTAGGCAGGCTGTATAACCTCCCAAATTGCAACACCATCTTTCACATCAGCAGTGTTTAACTGTGCTACCTTTTTGAGCTCTGTGCAATGCATGCTCTTCGTTACATCATTGTCCATGTCCAACTGCGAGAGTTCCTATGACATGAAGTCAGTCTCCATGAGTGGGGAAGGATCCTGTCCATCATTGCACTTCTTGAACAGTTTGATAGCCTTCAAACAACCCTCTTTTATCTACCATGGGTGAGTGCAATGTATTATTGTCATGGTACTGGAGCTAACAGACCTTTCCTTGATGCTTGTGGCACTTTGTTCACAGCTTCATCACCTGGTGTTTCTTACCCTTTTCTACATGTGTGCGTTCATCATACTTGCACTTGTAGTTCCTGAACTTATCCTTTGTGAACATGAGAATATCAGCCATGTTGAAGTTGATGTCCTTGTGCATCAAGTTGAAATATTCTTTGTTCTGATGGGATAAAGTAAGTTGTTGTGGATTGTCATATCCTGTATGCCAGACATAGATCCCATCATATTCCCACGCTGTCCAGACCTGTTTCCGGACCCCATATCCAACTCATTCCTGGATCCCCTATCCTGTCCACCCTACGCACATTCTGTCCAGCAAGATATCCAGACTTTACCTTCTCTCAGATTCCGGACTACATCCACCACCTCACATATCTCAGTCCTGTTTCCACCCTGCCTTCTGGATCCCCAGATCTCCAGACCTCCGGATATTAACTGTACTATCTCTGGACCTATTCCCACCCTCTGTCTGAGATCCTGCACCTATCCCCATTTAGGCATCTCTGCCTTTCCGGTTCTCGGTTATCTCTGTTTCCGTCTTGCTGATTGATCCTTGTACTAGTTTCATCTCCAAGTTCATTTACATATGTTCCAGTCTTACTTACCAATGTGTTTCTGCATGCTCGTACATAGCCTTACTCCTTTGCTTACTGATCCTCTCAGATAGCCTCTAGTATATAACCCCTGTACAACTACAGTAGAGTCCTCAGTCTGAATATCATCTTAGATCCTGTTCTACTTGCCAATCATCTTCTGGACTTCAGTCCATCTGAGTCTTGTCCTTTTCCATAAGGCCTAGGGATGGACTCCCTAGGCCAGAATTCCGGACCTCCGGATTTGTCCCCTATGTCTCTGTCCCAAGTCTAGGGATTGCTTCCCTAGGCTAGAGTCTTGCCTTTCCAGCACTTACCCTCTTTCCGGACTTAGGTCCACTTCCTGTCCCTCTGACTCTACCTTAGGGTAGTCTACCTCTGTTTGCTTCTACATCAGACTTCGTCCAATGTAGCCCCTATTCCTTCCAGACCTCCGGACCTCCTGTCCTCTGTACCTCTGGACATCCTGTCCTTCGGATGTTCCGCCCTCCGTACCTTCAGACATTCCATCCTCCATACCTCCATGTCCATCCTCCATACCTCCGGACCTCCTGTCCTCATACTCGGACCTCCAGACATCCTGTCCTCCTGTCCTCCGGAACTCTCCCGCACTCCTCCGGACGTTCCCGCTCCTCCGGAAGTCCTCCAGACTTCATCGGACCATCATCGGACTTCCTCTGAAATGAAGGGCACATACTCAGGTAAGGGGCACAGCGTACGAGCTAAGGCCAAGCCCCTCTGAGTCAGTCTCTCTCTCCTTTGAGCATGGTTCTTAACATGGATCCTCTTAATCACCACATCACTCACAGGCTGTTGCTCCATCCATACAATTTCTGCAGCTCACTCACATATATTGCTATTCTGCAGGGCACTGACATCCACTTGGAAATCAAACATCAGCAGTCCTGTCATCTCAGGTCTCATCCTTGTCATCAGAAGAATCTTCGTCATCCAAGTCCTTTGGCTTCCCAATATCAGAGGCAATGATCCCAGTGAGGTTGTAAATCACAACATGGATATGGTCCTGAGCATGGTTGTTGTTAGTGCATATAACCAGCATCAGTACATACCTGGAGTTCAGCACAAATTGTTTTTTGTGTGGGCATCAACTGATCAGTCCATGTGTTCAAGATAATTTGCCGTCCTTCCTTGGTTTCTTGCATTGGTGCATGTCTCCTTCATCATCAGCATCATTGTCTTTGTCATGTTGTGGGCACTTGAGTGACTTCTCAATGGTCTTGAGCCGCTGAAGGACATGGTTGAGTGCATTCAGTGGTGGTTCAGCTTGGGGTTACAGGTCAATAACAGGAGCTGGAGGTAGGAGAGCTGCTAGTAAAGACTGTGGGGCATGTTGAGGTACATGGTGCATTGGAATTCCACCCTGCATCAAGCTAAGAATTGCCATCACATTCAGTCCCAAGGCTGCCAAGAGCAATTGAAGGGCTTGCATATCCGGTAGTCCAGGAATTGGCACCATTCCTAGAGGGACAGGGACTTGCAGAGGTTGAGGCTGCTGGTTCCTGTGTTGTGCCATGGTGGTAGGGGGACAGAAAGAAGGGCTAGTAACAGTGCTAGTGGTTGCTCAGATTTCGCCATGCATGGGTTAATATATATATGCACTATGATTTGCCATGATTGAAGCACCATGTACCTGACATGTGATGCCATCAGTACAGCTTTGACAGAACAACAGCCCAGACACCCAGCATTTAGACCTATTCCGACCCTCTGCTCACCCTGTACACTTCAGATTCACTGTATTGCTTAGAGACATGCACAGTTTGTGTGGATCAGGTGGGCTACCTATTGGAAGTGAAACTTTTCATAGATTGTCATAGTAAATCTACTTCTGGTGAGTGTGGACTATGTACAGCTCAGCCACTGGTGCTTGCCGCAGCTGTACAAGGCCTGGGTACCTGGACTCAAAACACAGTGAGTGGTAAGGTAGTGGTCGTGCAGATTCTACCTACCTCACATTGTCCTGCATGATTTGGGAATCATGCATGGACATGACTACTAGGTAGCCCCCCTAAAGGACAAAGTCTGTTAGCTTAGGCATCAGGCTAGTCAACCCATACCTTGGTTTCAAACCTTGGTCATATAGTTCAGTTTCCCCTCTGTGATTCATGAATTTATTATATCTTGAAGAAAAGTCATTTGTGAGATGGGAATCACATAATGACCTAGTTGATATTATGAAGCAAGAAGGTTAAGGTATTGCCTTGCCTTTGGCTTATTCACTTTGGCTAGAGAAAACCATAGAGAAAAGTTCAAAGCCTAACAAAAACCTATCTCAAAACCCATGTTTTGTGCCTTGTTATTGTATTATTATTTCTGAGTTGTTTTCTCTAGTATTTCCTTGATTTATTTTTCTATTAGGATGCTCTGAACCATCAAACACTTCACAAAATTGTACCTACAGAGTATGATGTCATGATGATGTCATTGCTTTGCTTTTTTACTTACATAATATTCCCACACAAAATGTATATAAGGAGGGCCCATTCTTCCTGGCCCCTGAAAAATAGGATCTCCTACTTGCAATCATTTGAATCTCAGTTTGAGCTACTCACTGTGAAGATTGTTGCTTACAAAGACAGCCCCTTTGAAGTACCAAGTGCAGGGAAAGATATTCCCTTGAGATTACATAAGTTTCTCATGATAGAAACTTAGTTTATTTGAGACCAGCTTCTCACCTAGTTTTCATGCATTGACTAACATGATGTGGTAATCATGTTCAGGCTGGCATGCTAGGACCTCATTCTGCAATCCCCAGCCAGTCCACACATCTCCTACCCATCTCCAATGTTTTCCCACCCTCTCCATATCTCTGATACATCAGACCTGCTTGGAGATCCCATGCACTTGTCCTACCATGTCCAGTCCAGTTGTGTTTATCCCTGCTGGTGCATAGTCAGTCATTTCCCATTACTGATTGAGTAGACAGCGTTATTACATGGATTCCCACTGGCTGCAGTACCTCATGGCCTTTTACCTACATATTATTGGACCTGTGTTTTTGCTACTGCTTTTGCCTATGGACTCCGGATTTTCACATAGTTAATTGTTGGGTGACCAGAATTACAATCACCACTTAGTAGGAGGGAGAAATCCCTGATACTGGTCACCCCATACCTGTCCTTGGAGTTACTCTTGCCAATATACCTGTTTACCCGCTCTCCTTGACCCAACACAAGTATCACTCATTCATCTGATGTTTCCTAACATCTCCAAGCTAATCCTGATGCATTCCCTCCCTTTCCCTTACTCTCCTGCCATCTCTGCATCTCTGCACCTGCGGACCTGATGAATGAATCAACTACTAAGCTATGGCACTACAAGGGATACCAAGTCAGAGTATATGTGTGGTTGTCTCAGCTCTGCCTAGGCTGCTATATTTTGCAAAGGCAAGTGTGTTCAACCTAAGGGGAAGCGAGTGAAACACATCCACAGGTTGTGTGAAGCATGGGAAAGTCATGCGTGCAGAGGCAAAGGCACATGCAGAGAGTAGTAGGATGCACAAAGCACAGGAAAGTCATGCACTAATAGGCAAAAGTGCACAAAGGGCTAGGAATGCGATGGGGACTAAGGGAAGGTGATGACTGATACTGATGGGTGCAATGTGACAGTCAAGTTTTCCTTGGGCTTAGATTTACTTACTTTACTTACCTTTACCTACCCCCACTTTCTTTAGCTTATATAAGCATCACCTCTTACTTTCACTCTTTACCTGTAGTCTGGGACTAGCAGTTTTATGATAATTCTTCTCCTCTCTGAGCTCTGAGTCTAGTACAGAAACCCTTGTGGGTCAAATAGCAGCTAGGTATAGCACTTTAGACCCAACATATTGGCTAGGTACTTTACCAAGTATCTAGCCAAGTTGTGTTACTCACAGCGAGGATGACAAATGTGATGATGATAGAGTGTGATTGCCAAAATGCTACTGACTATGGCTCCAAAAATGCATGCACTATGCTAAGGGATGCTAAGGGATACTAACTCCCAACTAAGTGGTAGCTAACTAAGTGATAAAAATGCAAATGCTATCATGCAAAAGGTGACTAAGCGCATTCCCATGATGCAGAGCTGACGCAAGTAAGGCACAGGAATGAAGAAGGTATATGTAAGTAAGGGTCCATGATGGAATATGGTATCATGATAAGAATAAATGCGAAAAACATACCAGTAGGACTTGCTGGACAATAGATGGATGCTCTTGGATGATGGATGATGAAGCATGGGAAAGTGCATGGGATGTACGCAGGAAAGCATCACAGGAGAGTAGTGCACACATTGCACAATCTGTGGGAAGATCATGCATGTATAGGCTGAGTGAAGGAATGATATAGGGAATGATGCTGTGAGTTCATGCTGTGAACTGTATGCAGATACATCACAATATAGAGCTCTACAGGCATACAGAGGTAGTGAGTCTCTACACTGATTTCCCATGCATCAGACTGTGTCCCATACCTTTGGACTTGATTCCTGACCTTCAGACTTTTGACCCTTTGCATAGTACTGATTATTGAACTTGACTAGACAGCAGATCCCTCAGGTCAAACATTCTTGCTTGCAGGTGTAGCAGCTAGGCAGGATTAGTAGACATATATTGGCTAGTATTTTAACAACTATCTAGCCAAGTTTTGTAATCTACAACAATCTTTGATCAATCTAATCATTTGTGAGACCAGCTTCTCACCAGAATTTTGTACATTGACCAATACAAGCTTTGGTCAACCTGATCATTGAAATCTGTAAGAAAAAACCAAGGACTCATAGACACGATACTTACTCACACAGTTTGCAGACTCAGCATTTATTGATGGTGTCATCCCTGAAAAAGTCAACCGAATCTTGAGCAGCTTTGGTCTGCTTTCCTCAACCACCCATAGCATATGGGTCAGTTCAGGCAGTATCTGTGGTCACTTGAAGCAGTGTGGGAATCTCAAAACAGCTGGCCAAGCTGCTGAATGAAGAGCAGTATATTCAGCCCATGGGATTCTGACTTGGCTCAGTGCTCAGAGGGTAGAAAATATCATCAAAAAGGACTATCATTCAGACTGGTACTGACACTGGTGAAAGAGATACATGCTTAGGTAAGCAGCAAAAATGCGAACTTAAACTAATGAAAGTGGGGACAGGTGAAGGTAAGTAAAGTAAGTAAATCTAAGCCCAAGGAAAACTCGACCGTCACACTGGTAATTCAGTTATCTGTATATCTGTCCTGCTCACTGATCCATTACCTATGCTTCATTTCCATTTCATTATTTGTGATCCATTCCTAACCAATAGACTATCCATATGCTTTGTACATAGCCTCAGATCCTGCCAATTGATCATTTCATTAGATACCTATAGTATATAACCTCCTGTAAATCTCTGTAACACCTCAGTTCAAATATCATCTTAGTTCTGCTCATTCCTGTCCTCCGGACCTGAGTACCTCTACTCTTGTCACCCTCTGAGACTTAGGATTGATTCCTATAGTCTATCTGTATCTGCCTCTGTCTACAACAGTCCACTACTGTTAGTTTCTAGTCCGGACTCATCCAGGTTAGCCTTATGATACTTACCATACATCTGGAAGTCATCTGGATCTACTATGCTACTCGTCTGACCCTCCAGATGTGTTAGTCTTGTCCTCCTGAAATAAGGGGCACAGTGCACAAGCTGAGGTCAAAGTCCTTAGGATCTGTTTAGCCCTTGAGTACAACCTTAACAAGTGCCAAGCACCAGCATATAACATGATTTTTTATGCACATGGAAAGTAATACTATGGAAGGCACTGGGTCAACACCAAGATAAAATATATGTGCCTACAATGCTGCATGACACAAAAGGGCATTCCTTGTCCATCTTGGATCTATGCAGCATGGTCTCAGAACTATGGACATGTTTGGTACCAGTGGCCACTCACTTTGGCACAGAGATGTGTCATAGGTATCATATATTAATCACTTCCTTTTGCCATTCCACACAAACCAGTACAATAGACTTACAAAGTTTATATCTCCTGTAACCAAGAGTCATGTAAATGCAATTATTTGCACAACATTAGGTCAAGGCTTAAACTGAGCTGTGTCAAAGACATCTGTTGAATTTACCACCATTTCCTCTGTCTACCAAGATGACAGACATACAGGCAGGGGGCTCTGAAAATGCTTGCCTGACCTACAAAGTCTTGACAAATTCCAATATATACAGTGTACAAATGGCATAAATGCTTTTCAATTCATCACTAACAGGCACCTCTGTATTTCAACATATTAAGATTTATGAGTCATATCAAACAGGTGCAGTTAATACACATAGACAGAAATAAATGACTAAATGTCACTTTAGACTTTGAAGAATTCTGGAGCATAGGTAGTATGTGTAGACAAGTTAGCATATCACACTGAATGATGAGATTCAACCAACCTTTAAATGTTTCATTACACCAGGCCCTTGAATATGTGTCACTCATCAACAATGCACACAGTTTTGTTGGTCATGGAATTGAGGTTTGGTTATAATATAAGGTCATCTTGGCATATAACATGATGTGGTACAGACATAGAACTGATTCCAGACTCATGTTATAGATGACAAGACATTCCAGCAACCATTGTCTATGGTACTTATAAATGGTATGTCACATCATATATTTATCTCTATCACCTGGAAGGCTGCTTGACCATTCTGTCATCACTGATGATAGGATTTGATGTCCATGGGCATATGGGTCATTGTTATCAGACTGAGACACATTGTTAAGGTCAGCGTGCTCAAGGGGGTTGGATCACAAGGGCTTGGCCTCAGCTCAGTATGCTGTGCCCCTTTCCTGAGTATGTACCCTTAATTTCTAGGGGCTAGAACAGTTGTCTGGAGTTTCCGGGATTTGACTAGGGCGGATAATGGACTGTCTGGATCTGAAACTGTGAGATAAATCCGATGGACATCTAGATATTACCTGGGCAAGTGGATAAGACTAATCTGGACGAAGTCCAGACTAGAAACTAACAGAGGATGGACTACCCTTAAGGTAGAGTCAGAAATGTAGTCTAGGATGCAATCCTAAGACTTGGAATATGACAAGAGACTTATCTCGAGTCCAGAGGACACAGGAATGAGCAGGAACTAAGATGATATTCGAACTCAAGTATTTCTGAGAGTTACAGGAGGTTTATATACTGTAGGTAACATATAGGAATCAGTCAGCAAACATAAAGGCTATGTATGAAGCATATGCAGAGTCTATTAGTAAGTAGGATGGATCACAAATAATGAACACTGGAAATGAAATGTATGTAATGGATCAATAATCAAAAGGGAAACATGGTTAACCAGAGTCCGGAGACAGAGGCAGTCTAAATGGAGTTGGGCGCTGATATAGGGTTTGGATTGCAGAAGGGAGATAAAGATAGATCAGATCATTTGAGATCCGGATCTTGAATCTGGATATCTGGAGAAGCAGATTTAGAGTTGAGAGTCCAGAATGGCATATGACACACATACAGAAGATATTGAAGCAAGAATCTCACAGACTTGTTGTTATCATTGGTCTAGTGGGAGAAATATGATGGTTAGTCTAGCAGAACAATACACCTGTCAATGGATGACTTCACCCAGATTCTGTGCAGTGCCTGATGGAGTGTTTCCTTATCTGATGAGGAGTAGTTCAACAGTTCAATAATCACACAATGCACCTGATTATGTGGAGGTGAGAATGGCACAATTGTTGAGAGAATGGATATCTACCAATGGGGGAAGGACTGAATCACTGGCTTGATCACAAAGTACCTTATCACACTCAAGAGTGATATTCTTGATCCATAATTCAATTGACATCAATGATGATGTGATGCTGCTCATGTCAGGGGACATGCATTCACTGTGAAGGAGTAATGCCACATGTGGGATGATGACCAACCAGGAATCACAATTTAATTGGATGGTAGATTGGACAAAATGGAGTCCCTTAGGGTCCATGAGAAAGGAGTGAATCTATGTAGTGATTTCAGACCAAATTCTATTTCCATGTGTTATGAAAAGTGCACATGTGGCATAACACTGTTTGTCCCATTCTGAGATTTAGCAAGGAGATCTTGGATTGTATAATGATCAGATATTGATGTCTGAGACACTTTGGTGGTTTTGCCCTTGAATGCAGGCCTTTTGGCAGCAAATACAACTGGCCATGTGGGCTTTGCTAGACCTTGGTTCCATTGGGCTGGTCTAGGGGTGTTTGTGTTGATAGCCTGCTTATAATCACATAATCTTGACTTTAATGGAGGTGAGATTGGTAACTTACTTGTTTGCTGCATCATATCACAAGTGGGATGGCCATGCTGTTCATTTGGAGGATAACCATTCAGTATTGGACTTGGATCATTGGGACAGCTGGGTATATGAGCAATATAGTTATTAGAAGTTCTTGATGCTTCCAGATGAATTGTTGTAATATTGTATTCATTACCAGAATGATCATTGGGAGTGTCTGATGTTAATTCATATCCAGTATGATCCTTGATCAATAAACTCATAATTATGATGTTACCAGGTGAGGGAGTAACAAACATACCATACATTGATCATCTAGATATTCATCAGGGTGGGGTAAATTTATATCATTGCACCCCATATCCACAGGGGTTCTTGAAGGGGGATTGTCAATGTCTGGAACACCAACCAAGGTCACAGACACCACACCACTTGAGTGGTCTAGGCCTTGATCATCTTGGCTGTGACTATCTGTCTGTATCCCACAATCCAGCATTGCATTGCTGCAAGGTAAGGAGGAACATTTCATAACATGCTCACATTGCACACCTACTGTGATCCCCATACAGGGCAAATGGTGCATACAAATGTCTTGTGGTGCCTCAGCACTGGTGGCATGCTGCTGCAACACAAGAGTCTGGCCACACCAGACCATGCAGTTCCTGCCCTGGTAAGATACATAGAGAGCATTACCAGCAGTAGTGAAGAATCATGCCATGCCACTACAGTCTACCAACAATTCCTGGCATGTGGTAATCATCTCTACCATCCCAAATATTTCCAAAAACTTGTTATTACTGTGTGCTGTCACAAGTAATCCATGTTGCACAAGATTTTCCAATGGCTCATTATGCTCAAGTCCTTGTATTTCTTGAAATCACATTGCCACATGATGTGGTAGCCATTGACCAAAGATATCAATGAGGATTTCACATGCATCTCCCCCAAGAGTACTCAGAGCATTCCTGTAATATTTAATATTGAATGAAAGCAGAAATTTGGGAAATGGATTTGACTGCTGGAAGCTTCATATGATATGTAGATCATGTATTGTAGGAGAAATGTACTACATCTATGTTATTAGATACCAATATCATCTGAGTTGGTGAATCGCCTGAATCAGCTATATCAATTGCTGTTGTGGGACTGATTTGGTGTTCTGGTGCATTGATACAAGCATCAACCACATCAAGTAGACACTAGATATCTTCTCCTTCTCTACATCCCTGTAATGCTCCACAAAAATCATGGTCCTTGCATTTTTCCTTGTGATAGGTCTTCCAATTAACTGTAGGGTATAGTAAGGGCAACAGAATCTCAAACAATGATAGAGTACACATGGAACACCAGTATGTCTGCACACTGGTTGTTCTTAAGGCTATCAAAAGTAACTCTGTGAGCTGTATGTAAGGCTTTGTGACTCTCATCATGAAAGCTATCAGCAGTGTGATCCAACCAGAGGTAATAGTCCAATGTTGCCAATTGAAAGATGCCATGGAGCAGATTTGCAGATCTTCTAGCATGATCCATGAATGCAATGTAGTACATCATGCAAATATTTCATTACAGAAAGATAGGTATTTCACAGGTGAGCAGCTTCACCACTGGATGAATCTTGCAGGTACTCCACAACTTTCCTGTAAATTCCAAATTTCTTGTTCAGTGCATACAGGGGTAAGTGATAGTAGGCAGATATTTGGCATCCCTTGTGTGACTGTCCACTAAGCTTAAGGAAGCACTCTCCATCAATATCTTGAATAGTTCCTTTGGCCTTCAACCACTGCCATGCATTAGTTGGGTTCCATTCACAAAAGTGACACAATGGATTTATGGGGGGATTATGTTAATGATTTGCCTAGATATTCACCAATGCAAGTTGCAAGACTAATGACAACATTTTTCCAAATAATCCCAATGAAAATGGATCAACACATGTACTTGACATCCACATCTTCCAAGTCCATCTTCCTATAATACTATTATATTTTGAGCCATACATCCTATGATAGAGCATTTGAGTCAATGAGGCACAGTGTGATTACGAATATACTTGCCTGTACTTGACAACCAGCCTTTAGGTAGATCTCTTCCACCTTGCCATACCAATATGACATTACCAGAAGACTGCCATCTTGTATTGGTACTGCCCAATCATCATGCAGAAATATTGCAACACTGCAGGAATTATATTAGAATCACACTAACAGCACACAGACAAATAATCTGTACTCCTTCCCTACCTGGATTACTATCTGGACATCATTCACATCATCAGAGTCTTCAGAGATATTATAGACCCCTGTGAATGAAAAGACATATAGGTTTTAAATCAACTGTTAAACAACAACCTGTAGGTACATGAGTGAACATACATTCCAATGAGGTACATTTCCTCAATTCATGAAGCTTGGAGTGATTATGGTGCATAGGGGCCAACTTTCTTCTTCTTTCTGTGCGAGATGCACAGCTGGTGATTGATAGTCTACAGGACATGATGATTGTGATGGAACTGGCAATACTAATACTACTGAGAGTATTAAGAATTCAAAATAGGTACCATACAGCTGTTACATATGCAATAAAATTGTATCTATCTCACAGATGGAGTAAGAACATGGCATGGCAAGACACAAGGGTTGTCCTTATGGCATGCCAAGAAGTATTACATCATATGACTGATCAGATCTGACTGCCATACATGAAATGTCCTTTTTTCATTCTATTGAGCCAAAACCTTAATATGGCCAAATAATGCCAAGGCTATTGAAGGATGGAGTCAGTAAATAAATGGGGATTGTCTATAGAGGAAGCAACTGCCCATATGTTACCTTGAGTCCATAGTTTAAAATGTCTATGATCTGTTCTATTAAACTGAAACCTTATGATTACAGATCAATTCAGAGGCCATTGAAGGACAGGGTCAATGGAAACCTAGTATATTCAAGCACAATCACACATATGTCAACATCACAATTCCACAATCAGAAGTGGATGTCAGTATGGCTGATGATAGGGCAGAATGGCTATCCAAAAGATTTCTGATGTCTGCCATCCATCACACCTGGATTAGGCACATGTCTTCCATTTCATTGACACTCAATCTATACATTGCATTCCTAAAAATGATACATCAACACCCAGTGAATGGCCAGAGAATCACACTCATGCCAAAGGAGGTTTTGGACATCTTCTGGGACAGAGTGCTGCTTCCATCCATAGGAAACTGCACTAATGTCAGTTGGGCATCTTGCCTTAAGCACACATTAGAGAAGACATGATACAAGGCCAGAGGTGTGAATGGACACAAAGGCGGATGGAAACAGTAGACAATCCCCCTATCATATGATGACTTCAGAGATATGCAGGAATGTATGGAAGCTTGCATACATGATGGAGAGGGTGAGCTCAATATGTATGGGTCATTATTCTTTATTCTAGAAGGAAAAGGAATCAAGCTTCTCATGAAGGATAGTCAAAGGGGGCATTTTTTGGGACTGGAAGAGGCATTGTATTAAAATATGTCTGACCTTGACTGGCCATATATGATGAACTGGAAGCATGGTGAACTCCTGGTGGATGTTGGGATCTCATTCACACCTCATTCCCCAGATGTTCCAGTTGTAGGAGTGTGGAGACTAGGTACATTGGAAGCATCATTTGGAGCAGGAGGATACAAGAGAGAAGAGGTACATTATCACAACATGCTCTCTAGATATGGGGCACTGCAGGCTGAGATGCAGTGGGAGAGATATCAGCAGACCCATATTGCATTCAGGAGCACATACAACCTATACTACAAATCCATTCAGACAAATACCAACCAAGTGCATTTTGCATCTGACAGTGATGAATACAAGCTATCCCTATTGTACATGGCTAAATGCTTTCAAATCACAAAGGTTATTGATGTTTGCAAGGAAAAAACATATGGTGTCAGGGATGAGTATAGGGTCAGTGGACATGCAGCCAGAATAATACTAGATAATATCAAAAGCAAGGTTGGTAGCCCAAACTACATTTACCAATCTTGGCATTCTCACTGGCTTGCTGAATCACATGCTTCATTCTACTATATCAACCCCTATTGTCTATGACTTTCACATCTGTGAATCCCTTCCCCTCCTCAAATATCAAAATGTCCTGATCAAATCAGGGAGTCCTCCATTCAATTCTTCACAGTGCAGAATTTATACAACTGCAATTAGACTGGACATCAAACCCAACAGTTTATAAATGACCTCTCTTGCAATACACAAATACACTACTAAAACTGTATGTTGAGCCAGGGGACTTTTATCTATTGCTGGGCAGAAAAACTTTATAATTTTGTGACCCAAATTATTTTTGTGATACCAAGTTAATTTGCTCCACTCCCTTAAATGTCCTGTTTTGTTTATTGAACTAGTTTGTGGGTGTTCCTTGAGTTTTGCATACTCCATGTACAAAGGAAAATAACAATGGTTTGACTCTCATAGATGACACCAACAAACAAGCCCCTGAAAGAGAAGAAGAACATTGATGTTCCAAACATTAAGTTCAACAGTCAGCAGAATGGTTGTTCCCCAAACTTTGAGTTATTTGGTAGCATCCCCTGGTTGCAGCTTTTCAGTGCACTAGATAGCTCCTAAAGTATAGTTTCTTATCTTTGACTTTGAGCAATCACCTTTTATCTCTCTCTCTAATTATTGAGCATGCTATTCCCAAGCCTGGTGAGTGTATACAAGGAATTGCAGGTTTCTTATTGGCTGATTTGGGAGTGAAAATGTTTATTGAGCTAGTGCCTATTTAGAGGCCCTTTAGTATTGAACATGTTCTGCTCAGGAATTGCAGTTATGCAGAGGAGAGATCCAACATTAGAAGATTGTTTTAGTTCTCTTCTTGTTATGTTACTGACAGTGGTATAGTAAACAACAGATCTGTAGAGGGGAAGATTAATGTTTGGTCTTTGGCCACCTACTTGCTATGCCTAAAAGGGTGGTGCTTGACCCTAAAGTATCGCTAACTAGGCTCTGGCTCAAGAAATAGGAACAAAGAGGGAAGGATGCTGTTCCAAGTCAGAGATCAGATAGTTGTTAAGCCTTGGCATCATCAGGAAGGATTTACCTGGTTGAAGTGAATCTCACCCCAGGGATCCATTTGGTATAAGTCTTTTTCAGCTGCAGAGCTCAAATGAGTGAAAACCCTTTATTATACCAAGGGGTATTTACATCAGTACAGGCAACTTGAGGAGATGAACTGTGCTTATGGCTTGATCTTTGATTTTATCTATTGTCATTGAACTATGTAAATTGAGTGGAAGTTCCCATCTCATCTATAAAAACCATGTTCCAAAGTTTGCCACTCCCAGTCATGCTGCCTCACTCAAAGATCAGTTGTTTTAGCCTTCATATGACTTGCATTGTGTGATATCAGATTTATTCCTGAGGTAATTGAACAATGTAAATCAAATTGTGCCATTAAAGCAACCAGCTCATCCAAAAGCCTCACTTGTTTAGGCAGAGCAAGGCTTGAGGCTTCACTAACTTTCATATTCCTTAGCTTACATTCCCATTCTTGCTGCTTATATGATGGATTTCTGGACCTCTTTCTGTCTCTGCAGCAAGAATGGGTGATTTTGTAGCAGTCAATTTTTGAGCATGCCATCCCAAAGCCTGGTGAGTGAATGTAAGGAATCACAGTTT